CTGGGTCCGCTCTGTTCAACAAAATGAGTTCGCAGAGGACTTTCACCGTCTTCAAAAAGATAAACTTTTTACTGCTCGACTGCAGCGTCTCTCGCCATTTATCAAAGACGGTCTCCTGAGAGTCGGTGGTCGTCTTTCTCATGCTCCAATTAGGTATGATGCTCAACATCCACTCATTCTGCCCAGCTCTAGCCCACTCGTAGACCTCATCATTGACCATTACCACAAAATACACTGCCATCCTGGCTCTGACACTCTACACGCCATTCTTCGCCAGCAATTCTGGATACTATCCGCTCGCCGTGTGATCAGACGCCGGGTGTTTAAATGTATAAGATGCTTCCGATGTCGCGCTCAACCCGAAGCCCCGTTCATGGGAGACCTTCCCGCGGACAGGGTTAACCCTCAACCTGTATTTAGCCAAGTCACGACTGACTTTGCCGGCCCGTTTCTCATTAAATCTAGCACATTACGGAACGCTAAGCTCTTAAAAGCGTACTTTTGCATATTCGTGTGTCTCTCAACTAAGGCGGTTCATTTAGAGGCCGTCTCTGCTCTTACCACAGAAGCCTTTCTCGCGGCGTTACAAAGATTTATCTCACGGCGCGGTACGCCGGTACTAATTAGATCAGATTGCGGCACCAATTATGTAGGCTCCAGAAATCACCTCATAGAAGTCCAAAAATTTCTCACTGCTAATAATGATGCAATCACACACAAACTAGCTAACAAGCACGTAACCTGGTTGTTAAACCCCCCAAAGGGCCCCTGGTTCGGTGCGTTACATGAAATTAACATTAAATCTACAAAACAATTACTTCATCGCGTAATTGGTGAACAACACCTTACATTTGAGGAATTTTCTACACTTCTGACACGAATTGAGGCTGTACTTAACTCCAGACCTCTATGCCCACTTTCATCCGACCCGTCGGACTTTCAACCCTTAACTGCTGGCCATTTTATTATAGGCCGTCCGCTCACAGCTCTGCCCGAGCCGTCCTTTGATGACAGGCCATTATCTGCTCTTAAACGTTTTCAACTCATACAAGCTCTTTCTCAACGCTTTTGGACACTGTGGACCAGATCCTACCTCCATACCCTTCAGACCCGCTCCAAATGGCTTTCCCCTTCCTCACCTCCTCAAGTTGGCGAACTGGTACTCGTCAAAGAAGATAACCTGCCCCCACTCCAATGGAAACTGGGAAGAATTACCCGCACAATACCTGGCAAGGATGGAGTGATCCGAGTTGTGGATCTGGACACAGCCCACGGACATCTGCGCAGACCTGTGCTCAAGATAGCAAGGCTGCCGTTAGATTCAGCTCAAGAAGAGGTGCTCTCTCGGGCCCCCCAGGATGTTCGCGCCACTCGGGCGCGACGATTGGTTCCCTGATTTGCTTTCTCACTCTTACTCATTGATTCGGCGCGAGCGTCGCATGCGCGCCACTTGAAAATGGTCACGCGTCGTCCACGGTTCGAGAAGGGTCGTTAAATTGAAAATATATGTAAAAGTAAAACCCTTCAGCTCATCTGCTCATGTGTGAATTATTATAAGTATATTGCCGGCCGGCTTCTATTAAAGTAAACTATACAGACAATTGAACAGTGATAGTGAATATAGCGTATAATATAAAACTTTGTTGCACGTGTACCTATACGTGCAAAGGTATATTCAGCTCAGGAGCGTGCCACTCACCCAGCGCCATCCATCTATCATCCGCCCATCTACATTCCAAGTAAGTGCACACCCTTACATCTCTCTCCCTTACAACTCCAACCCCCGCTTCAGCTCATCGTCTATGTGAGGTGTCCCAGCCCTTACAAATTTTAGGGCTGGCTAACCCTCACAAGCGCTCTACCCTTGCTTCGTTCGTGTGTCCCTAGGTACGTTTTAATTTTTTTGAGCCAAATCCTAATTCTTTTTCTATAATAAAAGTAGCTAAAGTTACTCCTTATAACATCAGCTATCTGCCAGTGAAAATCCCGTCAAAATCGGTCCTGCCGTTTCGGAGATTAGCCGGAACGAAAAAACATACACACATCATATTATTTATAATAGTCTTGTAAGTGTGATGAATGCTTCTACTCTAAATCTATAAGCTAATACTATTTATCTTCTTTATTCTTCTTATAACAGAATATAATAATAATTTTGAGAAACAATGCTCACGTAACAAAACAAATTCAATTCCACAACCACAAGCGAATTTTAATGTACATTTTCAATAATGACGATTCATGATGCCGATAATCCCAATTCAAATTCATACCCGACATCGGCGGCAACTTTTCATCAGTTGAATTTCAATAGAATTCAGTACAAATTCTGATCTGATTTCAAAACTTATATAACGCTTTGGTTTTAACATAATTATATTAAATTCAGTTGAATGATTTATATGAAAGAGTATTTTTAAAGTGAAATGTAATTATGATCTATTGATACATACAATAAAATTCTTTAGTCGAATCTGTACACTAAATATTTTTTGGAATATTTGAAATAGTCATTGAAATAGTCATTATTATTTATACAGAGGCCGAATCTATAGTTTTTGGAATTTTTGTCTGTATGTCTGTCTGGGAATGCCTTATATATATAACTAGACAGAATTTGATAAAATTTTATATTCTGATAGCTTTTGTTATCCGGGTCAACATATAGGATACTTTTTAATGACAGAAAATATCTCATCTCTGAGAAATCTATATTAACCGTTAAAACGTACCTAGGAACGAACCCGAGAGGAGTGAGGGTGAGTCGCTAGTTACTCGTAGTAAATAAAACTTAAAATACCTATGTATATTATAAAGTACGTGACTTGTGACATATAAATATGTTAACTGGAAACAAAGATTGATAATGACTTATTATGATACATACCCACAATTCACATAGTAATAAATTTTACATTCATTGTCAAATGTAGCGTCAACTTTTTGTTCATTGAAATCAAATATAAATAATAACTAATTACGAAACATGGTTTTAAAATATTAATAATAAAATAAACAAAAAAATAAAAATATAAAAAACATAAAAATATAATAAAATAGTCAAAAATTTATATATTATGTTAGCAACATAAATAAAACTGAAACAATTTTTTTGCGAAATTTTCCGAGATTTGCTTTGGTTTGTTGCTTTCGCTTCCCATATAAGCCGCGGGCAGTATAAATTAATATTTTTGCGTATAACATTTCATAAATATCAATTTACTGTAGCATTTTATTAAAATCTCACAGAAATATTAAGTTTACGGGAGGACAAGTATTACGAGTACCTTCCTTTTCATTACATTTAATTCTATATAAAAATGCTCATAGAATCTTAGTATTTTAATTAGTATGAACTTGTAACGAATAAATAATTAAGTGTAGCTTTGAAGTTTACTAAAATGACAATAATTCATATCTTGAATGCAATAGATTTTTTATTTCATTTATTGTATTATATAACAACTAGCATTGCCCGCGGCTCCGCACGCGTTCAGATGAAAAAAAAACCAAATCCTTAGGTTTTACATATTAGTATACTCTTGCAGTTTTTGTATTTTTTCACAGAAATGACACATCTTCTCGCGGTATAAAGTATGCTTTAAGTACGATTAGTCTCTGCTAATAAAAAAGAAAAAAAAAACACAATCTAATATTAAAAATATAAATCAAATTAAAAATTGAAATTCTCTAAATTTTATAAAATTAAAATACATAATTATACCAAAATTTCATCAAAATCCCTCCATTGTTTTTTCTGTGATGCGGTACCAAACATACAGACAGACAGACAAAAATTCAAAAAACTATAGATTCGGCCTCTGTATCTATAATAATGTTTATTTCAATAAGATTTTCCAAAAAAATATATAATGTACAGATTCGACTTAGTTACAATTTTATTATATGTATACATATAACAATATGAAAATTATTAACAACTATAATAATATTCTTGATCCGGTCTTGTTTTACTTATCCTATATATCCCATACGTTTTCAAATTTAGCCATATAATATTTTGTTTGTAAACGTATGTTACTTGATACTTTCCTCAGTTACGAACCTTTCCTGTTATTTTTCGAATAGGTTATCAAAAGTCCGATATAAATTTCAAAATTGATTTTCACTAAGATTGAAATAACTACATTTAAATTGATTCTCGAAGTCTATGTACCTTTTTTCGAATCTATACTAAAATTATAAAGAGGCAGACTTTGTTTGTTTGAATGCGCTAATCTCAGGAACCACTAATCTGATTTGAAAAATTCGTTTTGCATTACATAGTCCGTTTATTGAGGAAGGCTATAAGCTATATATCGCGCGCGAGTGAAGCCGCAGGTATTGCTAGTAATATTATATATTAACAATATCTAAAGCTTATGTGAGAATAACCCACCAAACTTTCATCATAATCGGATCAATGCTTTAGGAACGTATAGAGTACAAACATACGAACATTCATTTTCATTTATATAGAAGATAAAATATATAAAGTAAAATATATAATAACCTACATTATAAACGTAGCTTTATAAACAAACCTCGGGAGTCACATGACTCTGCACTGCACTAATTTGTTTACCTAACAGCGGGCGTCACGAAAACTCGGAACTAGAGGTCAATTACATATTGACTACCGTATATGATATGTACAATAAGTGATATGTGGTATTTATGTTGAAAAGTGTTATTGGGATATTATTATATTATATTTTAAATATAATATTATTATTTTTTTAATAATATATAAGAAGACCTTTATTTTTACATCTTTTTGCACAAAATTTATTCAAAGTGTAATATCAAAATTAAACTCTTATATATTTATATATATTTTATCTCATAAATAAAAAAATGACTATATTAAGTATTTTTTTTTGTTTTTTAATTTAAAAAAAAATAACTCAGTATACCAACTAATTTGTATACCGATACGTTATAAGCGATTTGTCTATACCACTGGCGGGCATTTTACAGCTGTAAGTATATACACCAACATGTACTCTAAGAGCGCTATAATAACGGTTTTACTTAACATAAGCATTTTCATTCCTGTGAAAACTGGATTAGAGGAAGATATTATACTTCACAGAAGTCGAAGACAATTACTTTTTCCCAATTCTACTTTATTACAAGTAAGTTATTTTACATATTTTTCTATATAGCGTTTTTTTTTTGCATCTTCTATCTCTCTAATATATAAAATTCTCGTGTCACAGTGTTAGTAACAAAACTCCTCCGAAACGGCTTGACCGATTCTTATGAAATTTTGTGTATATTTTTTTGTGTAGTAGGCCTGAGAATAGGACGTAAACTATTTTTCATACCCCTAAGTGAAAGTGTGGTCCACCCAAAAAAAATTATATTATATTTTGGATTAAAAAAAATATATTTTTTTATGATTCGGCATTAAAAAATACATACAAACCTAAATTTTCATATTATCGTAAAAATGAATATATTGCTACTTATAATATAAATTACTATAGTTGTAATAATAACTGCATATATTTTTCATAAAGATAGTTTATGGATCGAGGAGTGATTTAAGTTTTTATCCACAGCATTTAGTTCTGTAGATATATGTATGTATATTATATTGCAAAAAGCTAAGATTGTCATAGTATGCAAAATCTATACATATAATAAAATTGTAACTAAGCCGAATCTATACATAAAATATTTTTTGGAAAATCTTATTAAAATAAACATTATCATCGATACAGAGGCCGAATCTATAGTTTTTAGCATTTTTGTCTCTCTGTCTGTTACCGCATCACAGAAAAACCACTGGAGAGATTTTGATGAAATTTGGTATGGTGATAACTGGTTATCCGGGTCAACATATAGGATACTTTTTATCGCGGGGAAATATCTCATTTTTGAGGAAAAATACAAAAACTGCAATGTAAGAGTATACTAATATGTAAAACTTAAGAATTTGATTTTTGGTCATCTGAAAGCGGGTGAAGCCGCGGGCAATGCTAGTACCCTTTATATAACTTTAAGCTAAGTATGTTTTGCTTAGAGTTCGATCAATACGAGCATAATTGCGTTAGGACAAACATTCTAAACAGGGCTTCTACGGCGAACGTGCCTTTTACAGTAAGAGGTACCGGTTAGGGTCCCACTAACTCTGAATATAATTAATTTACATATTAATTGAAAATTATAGGTAGAAATTACTCATATACTTTTTTAATAGAATTTGATAATTTAAGTAAGTACAGAAATAATTTTTGATACAAAACCTTTCTTATTAATAAACTAGCGACTATCTTCGCTAGGATGTGACCGTAGGTACGTTTTTAATATATAATAATAGCTATTTTGAGCGGCCTTTAGGAGATTAGCACATACAATCGTAGAGTTTTTCTTGAAATCGTAAATTCAAATTTTGCGTAATTTTTAAGTGTTTTCAATTTTGTACCTTAAATATTTTCGGAATAAAACATACCCTACATGTAGCCCTATAATTTTCTCTATATTTCAGTGCAAGTCCCATTACAATTAGTTAAACCGTTCCAAAGATTGCCCTGGACGAACAGAAAGACAGAAAGACTTGCTTAGGTACTGGTATCATATAAATAGCTAATACTTGAGCAAACACATTTATTGTGAAATTACAGACAGACTTTAATTTTATGTATATCTACTATAGAATATATATAAAAATAAATCCCTATTTCCCTTGGTCACGCCATCATGCGTGAACGGCTGGACCGATATAACTAAGTTTTTTTTGTTGTGTTTGTTATTGTCGGGAGAAGGCTCTTATGAAAATTTTTTTTTTTAAATTGCTCTACTAATATTATAAAGAGGTAAAGTTTGTGAGTTTATGGGTTTGTGACGTTGTAGGGTGTAATCTCTGGATCTATTGAACCGATTTAGATGAAATTTGGTAAGAAGATAGTTTAAGACCCTGGGAAGAACAGAGGATACTTTCTATCCCGGAAATCATCCCTTAAGGGGGTGAAAATGGGAATGATAGTTTGTATGGGGAATTAACCTAGAGACGAACCCGAGCGAAGCGAGGGTGAGTCGCTAGTTGATGTATAGATTTGATTATTATTCAAATAAAAATGAAAATATTTTTGTCACGACTTCGTTTGTCTGAAAAAACAAAACCTAAAACATGATTATAATAAAGTAAAAAGGCGCTAGAATTAATTAAAAATAATTTAATTTCATACCGCGATACGAAGAACTCTAAATAAAAATACTGCAACAAGTTTGTAAGCATGTGTTCTAATTAAGGCGTACATTTACACCAGTTAAGTACACTTGAGATGTTATTTATCATGCTTATATGAAACTTTATACACCCACTGATTGAATGAAATGTGAATGTTGTTGTAATATTACTATTTTCTGCATCAAATACATATTAAGGGTAAAAAATAGAGGCAGTGGAGCTTGTTAAATACCTAAAATGAAAATTTATTTACAGAATATACCTACGTTTTAAACATCTTTTAAGATAAAATACGATCGCTAAAATTATATTTGTCAACCGACTTCAAAAAGGAGGAGGTTCTCAATTCGACTGTTTTTTTTGTTACCTTAGAACTCCGTCATTTATTAACCGATTTGGACAATTTTTGTGTTGTTTGAAAGTGTATACTTCCAGATTGATCTCATTTAAATTTAAAAAATAAATACCACCCCTAAGGGTGGAAAAATAGCTAATGATGAATTTAACCTACTTCTAATTGTCATATTGACTTGAAACTTTGCAAGTGTTTCTATTTCCGTTGATAGTACAGTGGTTCGGTATTGTTGACCTAATCTGATGGTAAGGCCAAAAGGTGGATAGGTGGAACTCTTCAACGGCTAATAGTAGATACTTTAAGTTTGGGCTTATTTTGTTTGATTTAACAAGCCTAACACGTCAGAATTCTTACTTTGCTACTACTGTCTACACTAAAAACGGAAGAATAAAAACTTTTTAACAAAAAAATAAAAACCACTAAAAAAATATAAAACCACTAAAATAAAAATTATTTTTTACTTTTTAGTGCTTTTGTTTGAAGTCGGTTTTTATTTTTTTGTTAATTTTCCAATTATCTTCAAGAAATAATATGAAATACGAACTTATCTAATAAATAATAAAGTATGTATTGTGAAAATGTATGTGTTTATTGTAGATAGATCGCGAGCGAAGCCGTGGGTTCTGCGAGCATTATCATAAAAAAAAAACATTTTACGAATATTTTTTGTCTATAATATAACGCAAAAAGTTACTTACTAGCTAATTGTTCTAATAACGATTTTATAAACTCGTGTATGTTATCAGTTTGGTAAAACTAACTTCCTGGTGAGTTTCTAACTACAAAGTTTAAACATAGCTTAGAAGTTAGTACTAAATAACCATACAATATTAGCATTGTTAAAAGTTTTACTATTAAGAAGAGTATATAATGAAATTAAATCTATACGTAAAGTTTTGTATATAGGTACAACCCTTTTTAACGTCACTGCTGGACACGGCACCTTTTATATGAGGAAGATCAGGCCATAGTCCACCAAGCTGACCAAGTGCGGGTTGACGGACTTCATATGTCTTTCAAAAGCTTTGCTAGGTTCCTTTAAACCTAAACCTGCATGAGGTTTCCTCTATCGCCGTATATATCTAACACCGTATTAGCAAGTGGTAATCATGTTGGAAATGATCGGCTCAAAAAATATCAAATATTTGTTTTTCCAAGAGAGTGCTTTACAACTAAGCTACCGCTACTTAAATTAAATGTATATATAAAAAAAATATAGTAACTGTACAATTAGTCATGTACGCTTGGAATTATGGTTAGAACACTTCCATCAATAAATCGCAATGCCGATTATTGGGCGAAAAACGAGCAAGATCTGTACCAGTAGAAGCAATAATAGATGATAATGTTATTTAGCACATTGACACCATGGGCCGTCTAGCAGTCTGACTTCTGACTTATCTATACATATAATAAAATAGTACCTTTGGGAAATCTGTACATGATATTTTTTAAAAACAATGATTCTAACGTATTGTGTACAGAATATAGACCCCAAATCAATAGTTATCAATTTTTTTGTCTATTTGTATGTCTGTGCGCGTGTCACGCAAAAAGCATTCAAATGTTTAAAACTAAATTTATTTTATTTATTTTTTATTTATTTATTTATGTACCATAAAATATGTGTCATACAAAATAAAGTAATCAAATGTTGACAAAGGATAACTTATCTGAGATTTCTTCCAGAAACCCTTCAGTAGTGAGAAAATAAGTTAATATAGTGCGGTTTATTATTATTAGTATATATTACTTGAGTCAACATTTAGCATACTTTTTAGTACAGGAAAATCTTTCATTTCCACGGGAAAATACAATAAGTGGCTTGAGTCAACCTTAGAAATTTACATGGCTAACGTCACGTGGGCTACACATATAACATTTTATTAAAGTTTGTAGGTCATTGGATAGGTATTTAATATTCATTTGAAAATTAATATCGAATTGATGATAAAGGCCCAAGAACAACATTGTAACTCAGTATTGTATTTCAATTTAAAAATCAAACTTGATTTCCCATATTATATCTAAAATCAAAAATAAAAATTGCTACAATACCGAATTACAATGTTATTCCTTGCAGGTGCAGATAAGAAAGCAATTGTGTTCTACTCTGTAAAATACTCATGAATTCATTATTTATTGCATTAGCTGTGATTCACCTTCGTAGCTAAGAGAGCGCGTAAAGCCGACGGTCCTGAGCCTGATTTTTCATTGGTCATGTCGAATTATCCTACCATCGGAGTATGAGAATGACAGGAATTGTGCACTAAATATCTCCTGCTATATGGCTAGACTCAATGAGATTGGCCACTGTAAATGAAATTAGTCATTACACATTATATATTTTTCTCCTTGCTCCCTCTCTCTCTTTCATAATTTCATAAAAAAGTTTACGTTTCTTAAAATAAACTATAATAATATTAACTATTATAAATGCAAAAGTTTACTTTAGTTGTAAAATTTAGCACAAACTGGTGTTACTTTTATTTAATACTAGTGACTCAACCTCGCTTCACTCGGATTCGTCTCTAGGTTACTTCCCCATACAAACTTTCATCCCCATTTTCACTCCATTAAAGGATGATTTCTAGGATAAAAACTATTCTATGTCCTTTCCAGGGTCTCAAACTATCTTCTCACCAAATTTCATCTAAATCGATTCAGCTGTTTTGGAGCTTTTACGGTACAAACAAACAAAAAATATTTCTGCTTTATAATATTAGTATAGATTATAAATACACAACACCTATGGCGCGAACGTAAATCGATATATTTTTTGATTTATAATACCATATTATGTACCTTAATTAGATTCACTCATTAATTTTCAGCTAAACATTGGCGTCGGAACTCCTACTCCAATCAAAACTATCAACATTAACTGGGCTTTCCAAGCTAACTTTCAACTACCGTGGAACAGGAGTCAGATACCAGTAGATATATTTGGTGCTAATTCTGGCTACGTCGGCACAGCGAGGAAGAAACGTGAGTTAACTTATAATGACGATGACACAAAATTGTACGACGTTTATAAGTATGTGGAGGATATGTTAAATGGGTGAGTTTATTATTTAATTTAAAAATAACTTGTATTGTACATCTATACTAATATTATAAAGAGGCAGAGATTGTTTGTTTGTTTGAACGTGCTAATCTCAGGAACCTAGCCCTCTTATTGAGGAAGGCTGTATATCATTATGCTACTACCGAAGAGAACGGGTCGGTAAATATAAATGTTAACAAATCGGGCAGACTTCCAAACATTATTGTAAATAGAATGGATCATACCAAATTTCATCAAAATCTGTCCAATGGTTTTCCAAAAAATATTCAATGTACATATTCGACTCAGAATTTTACTCGTATGTGTAGATGTCAAATATCCGCGTAAATCTAAGAAAGTACTCGTATTAAATTTCTTATCATATACATATCTATCTTAAAACGTACGGAAGGGAGCTTTTGATTTAATCAGCTTATTGAAAGAAAGCTTAACTACGTTTGAAATTAGATTATTATGTGTACAATAGAAAATGTCACATAATATAATAAATGCGTGTATTTGTTCCCAAGTGATTAATAAAAAAGTTCCGTGTTTAAGACGCCAAAAATTGTGTAAACTCTTAGTTTTAGCTTTTGTTACATTTTGAACACTTTGTTGTTGTTTTGTTTAAGTTATTCAATATACAATTTTATTATAATGTTATGTTTAGACTAAATACAAATCAAATCAAATATTCCTACACCAAAAAATGTACATGACACACACATACCTATATGTATATATATATATAAGAATAGCACAATAGGCGGCTTCATTACTAAGTGAGCAATCTCTTCCAGGCAACATAATACCTTTATGTTATAATTTTTAATTTGTATTATTAGAGTTTCTACATCTTAATTATATACGAAAGCTACCTATATAATATTTATATGAATGTATGTCAGTATGTATGCATGTATATCTTATATTTTTAAACGAGCAATATATATATGTGTGTGTGTGTCATGTATATACATACATATATATATACATACATATATAATCTGAATCTCGGAAACGGCTTCAATGATTTTCATGAAACATTAGTATACAGTGGGTTTCGGGGGCGAAAAACCGATCTAGATTAGTCTTATGTCTGAGAAAACGCCTGTTTTCGAGTTTTCATGCGGTTTTCTTTCACATTATTCCACACAAAATATGGTCGGTAATTTCGCACATTCTGGCATAAACATCGTGGTAAAGCGGCCAAGGCGCAAGATTGACAATCACAGGTTCGCATCTCGGTCGGATACAAAATTTATACTTTTGTTTTTTTTTGTTTTTTTTTATATTTATTCTAGTTTTTAGCTTTTAAAAAAAAAGGAAAATCCTTCTGTAGGCCAAAAATATCAAGCAAAGCTCGGTAGCCCAGGTACTAACATTTAAAACATTTACATCGTTTTGGTATATTATATACCTACAATTAAATTGAAAAAATATTGTATTATATTAAAATGAATGAATATTGTATTATGCCAAAAATATACTAATAACAGATGCTGTAAAAACTCAATTATTCTCAAAAAAAAAAAGATTGGCAATTTATTAATTAAAACGTTTCAACATAACCTTGAGAAAAATACGGAATAGCTAGATAAAAGAAAATAAGTACAAAAGATATAAGTCTAATAAGGAAAATGGGGTGTAATACTATATTGTTACAGTGACATAATTAATGGAGCGTAGAATATTGTATTAGATCGAGGTGTTGGGATAAGAAGAGCCCTACTATCTTTACTGTTTAACGTTGTATCTACTGATTAATGAGCTTTTATATAAGCTTATTATAACCTGACTTCGTTAAATAGCATTAATATCATTTTGTTCTAATTATATATTAATTACTAATGACTTGCCCTCGATTTGCTCGGGGGAAATTAATCATAAATAATTAATTAATCATATGTAAAAAAGAGTAGCGTTTTTGTAAGTTCAAGTATTATTCTATCTGTGTACTATATTTCATCGAAATCAGTATAGCCGTTTTAGGGTAAAGAAGTAACAAACATACATACACACACATTTTTGTATATAATATTAGTGAGATTATTAAAGTATTTTTTATAAATACTAGGTACTCACCCTCGCTTTGCTTAGGTTCGTTCCTTTCGTGAAAAACAGAAACAAATCTATCCCACGGGAACCGTATATTTTTACGAGACAAAAAGTAAAATATGTGCTATTCCAGACCATAATCTATCTCTGTGCCAAATTTCATCCAGATCCGTTCAGCCGTTCTGGCGCAATTGAGTAACAAACATCCATCCAAACTTTCGCATGAACATTGCATGTAAGTTTTTCCATTACGTAACTATACTACATATGTACGATATTATATATTTATTCTTTAGTAAACTGTTGAAGCTGATGTAACAAGAGATAATCAATAAAAATAATATTTCACTTACTGACACCGTATCGGAGTTTTATCAGAGAGGATAGATAAACAACAATAAATTACGTTAAATGACATTCGGAAATGGAAATTGACAAAGGCAATTTATGTGAAAATTGGTTCCTGTAGCATTCGATTGTCTGAATATAATAAATCATTGTTATCTTTCCACAATTTGGTCTTACACTTGTTAGATAGTTAGATCTTATTAGTTCTGTTCAAACTTGATGTATAATGCTATAAAATAGTTAGTAGTGTAATCATTCATATACTTTATAAGAGATTTAACTAACTTGCTTCGTTCATTTATAAAATCTGAAGTATTTTTACTCAAAATATCAGCGCAATCCGATCTAATTTATCCACTTAGGGGTGGATTTTTATTCTTGAAATTTGTTAGTGTTTATACAGTGTACAGCTTGCAATCGTCAGATTTTTGGTTTCCGACTTTTCGAATACTTTACAGCAATCATGGTTACGGGAGAGACCATGGTCACTAAAAAAATCCGAAAAGATAGTTTTATTTAGAATGTGATGAAATGAATTCTAAATAATATAAATTATATCAATTTAAATTGTATTCATAGAAGGAATCAATATTCGTAGAAGGAATCAATATTATAATTAAAGTCCCGAATTTTATATTATTGGGATTGGTAAAAGAAAATCCGCTTAAAATGATCAAAGTCGTACGGATACTTTTTTGTACGGTGCAATCAATATCCAGTCTGGCAAGTGGCCAGCCCTCGTTAGTGTAGGGTTTATTACCTTACACAAAGTCGATTATAAATATTCCATATACTTTAAATATAAAAAGACCGAAATATCAACTTTGATTTTCGATTTTACTGATATTGTATGCGGGACAAAATTATCCTATATTTCGCCATGATATTCTTAGAGAGATAAGAGGCCTTTTCTCGTAGAGACCTTTAATAATAATATCTAAACATATAATAAAATTCTGAGTCGAATCTGTACATTAAATATTTTTTGGATAACGACTGGACAGATTTTGATGAAATTTGATATGATGATAGCTGGTCATCCGGGTCAACATATAGGATACTTTTGATTGCGAGAAAATATATCATGTCTGAGAAATGTATACTAAACGTTAAAACGTAAGTATGGTCTATTTTTTCGGTTTTATTCTGGTATTTTATTTACTCTGTTTCGAATGGGGTATAGCAAAATTGGTCACTAGAGAGATTAATGACGATTTTTAACGTACCTAACCTACTGTACAATAATTTAGATAATAAAAAAATTTAGAACATAAATAATTAAAGTAAATAATATTAAAAGATAATAAAAAATATTAGAAATTATCAAAAAAACTATATATATTGCAGTAACAATCTGTTACTAGTAAATATCTAAAATTTTTATAGCAAACATAACCCGATATTATATAAATATTTCAGATTTGGTCAGAACGGCACGTCGTGTGTGCTAAGAACATTATGTCAGCTCGGAGCCCAGCCGCTCCACTCTGTAAATAATGAGGATCTCCTGCACGAAATAGCTACTTTTGTACTCAAGTGAGTATATTTAACCGGCACCAAAAATGTCAATTTGAGTTATGATTTATAAATCCGGGTCTTATTTTTGAATAGGCTTATTTTTTTGCCCAATCTATTAAAGTATGTTTTATTTCATGGCTTGCTAGAGATAATAGAGATTTATAGTAGTTAAATCTAGTGTGTATTCCTTGTTGGGCACAATATTGTAAAACTGGTTATTTATTTTGTCTGTTAGTCTAAAAGAAAATTGTTGGAAAAGAAATTATTGAATTATTTCTACAAAATATCGTTTTACGTTAAAAAAGCCCAATTATTGATAAAGACTAAAATGTTGTAATATTACGTCCATCTCGTTAACAGCTATTTTTTATTAATTCGCATTAAGAATGTGACTTAAATTCATTTCTAGCAATGTGATTGATCCTAACTCAGACTAAAAAAACTCCATCTATCTTGTACACTTATTCTAAGACCCCAAATATTAAGCTTTCATTTAAAGTGGACTTAAAGCTTAATAGGTGTAAAGCAAGTAGAAGTATAAACACAGACAGTCTTAGGCAATCAATCTCTTTATTAAATTAGTCTTTTACTAACACTATTGAATAGTCAAATATTAGGCTACAGAAATAATATTCTGATAGGAATATATACTAGAATAATTTTGACGACACATTTGGCTCAGTTTGTAAGGTTTGCTAGGTGACCCTACTTGCTGTGCCAGTGGTCGCGGGTTTGAGTCCCGCTGGGGGCATGCATGTATGTGATGAGCACGAATATTTATACTTCAGTCATGGGTGTTTATATTTATAATGTGTATGTATTTAAAGTTATATATTATGTGTAGTGTATCAACTATCTGGTATTCATAACACACGCCTCGTAGCTTACCATAGAACTAGATGGTGCTGTGTGTTAATGTCCCAACATATTTATTTATTTATTCTAATCTAGTCTTAATAAATGTAAGAGAATAATTAGCGTAATAATAATAAGTTTTCTACAAAAATGGGGTTTTGATGTATAAATAAATTATACAATAAATATTCACATATAAGGTGTCTTAAACAATATTTCTAAGCTAATTTCTTACACAAACATTTTATTTTGAAAAAGTAGTGAATTTTGAATTGAATTAATAAGTTTTATCCGATTTCATTTTCTGTTGTTCTTGTTCTGTTGTGTTGTTTTTTTTTAAATATACTACCTTTATTATTCCAGTCCTCTGAACGATATAGAAAACGAAGAAAAGAAAGAATCAAACAGCTACATAGAAGCTTACAAAGCTGGGCAGCGCCAGACAGACTGCGATTCTTTATATAATTATTGTTCTCTTTCACTGATCGAAATGTTTTCGGAATTACATTAATTAAAATATAGTGGAACTGAGAACTGCTGGATTATATATTTTAAAGATCACAGATTATAATATGACTTGCATAATATATCATCACATATAGGGTTTTGCAAAATAAAAATACTTTTTAGTTAGTTTAACAGTCAGTTAGTTTAACTGTTAGTTTGTTTAATTGTTTATACCTTAATATTGAAAAAACCTTTGTGTTCTGTTTTATACATATACATAAAACAGAACACAAGGGGTGATTGATCTCTATAAGATCTCTATCATATATTCTCGAGCGTGAGAAAAATAATAATGAGATGCGGTAATTAATAGGTATAAACTACGAACATCAATTATTATATAAATATACAAATATACGAATCTGTACTAGTACTCGTATTATAAAGAGGTAAAGTTTCTGAGTTTATGAGGTTGTAGGAGGTCTCTGGATCTACTGAACCAATTTAGATGAAATTTGGTAAGAAGATAGTTTGGTAACAAGGACATAGGATACTTTTCATCCCGGAAATCATCCCTTATTTTGAAAGTTTATATGGGGAATCAACCTCGCTAGTTTATACTATACATTAAATTAACATTAACCCCGATTTAAAGTAAAATCACAGATCATATAATATACAAGTATAAGAAAAACATTAAAATTCTAAAAACGATACTACACACACATAAACTACAAGAACTATTGTAAAACAGAAAAGTAATGAACAATAAATAAATTTTTCACCTTACGTCCATGTGACGGTAGCGAAACGGCCGAGCCACATAATATGACTAAGGTGTTACTAAGCTTGTGGAGTTAGGGCTTGTAGAGTTAGGGCGTGTAGAGTTAGAAGCTTGGCTTTACATGAAATCTAATAACTTTTGACAGTGTGAGCCATATGGTCTCATCTTGGCAACATTTTACATGAAAATGTTTTTGGTGGGATTTCAATTCTTTTTATAAGTTCCTTATGACAATGTTTTTATCATTTTTTCTTTCTTTTTTTGGTGTGTTGTATATTTATAGCAAGAAGACCCTATATCATTTTTCAGACCTGTAGCATCAAAATTTGCGAAGGTCTCATACAAAATTCCATCCCCTTTTTTTAACGATGGAAAATGCATTTACGCACGAGGTGTACTACCAAATAAAACCAAACGGAACTTCCCCCGTCTTAATGGGGCGTCGCAGGATCGCTTACGCATTCAACTACGACGCCCTGACGGCAGGTCTGCCGAAGCAGGCCACAACAACCATGGGGTTGCTCCACGGTCCAATCTGCTATCAGAGATCCGAGAGAGAGCCGTGTCCCCAGATCTATAATAAAGTGACGCATTGCAAATATTATTTGATGAAATAAGACTTAATAAAATAAAATACAAAGATAATAATATAATACACTATAGAATAATGTTGAATAATTTATCAGAAAATTGTTGATATTCTGTTTAATAATTTATGACTTCAAGAAGGTGTGGAGTCGAGCATAATTTACTTTTTAAGTGTAATGTAAACTTGAAACATAACTACTGCCGTATAAATTTTTACCTTTTACAGTACGCCTTTATTAAAAATAAATATTTTATTTTGGATATTTTTTTTATTTCTACCCTATTTTAGGTACCTGTTGGCATGCTTAGTACTTACTGCTAATAGAAAAAATAGGGCTAGACGTAGACACGTTTTGTAAGAATTGAACGCTTATTTTCATTTTGAAATTGAATAGCTAATAATAAAATTAAAAATATATTTTATTATAATATTAAAAACACGCTTCTAAACTGCAAGGTATGGAACTTACCAAAGAAGTTAAAATTAGTACATTTTACTAGTAGCCATTCAAAAGATCCACTATTTATCATATTCCATCATTGACGATGCATTGAATGCATCAATATGACGATTACCTATACTTGTAAATTAAAATCTTTTAATTTCAAAGATTTAATTCCATAGTAAGTTAAAAGAGAGGTTAATAAAAGTGGAGGAAAAATCAAAAATTATCATATATTTTTTATTTAATACAGCCCAAATTTATGTAATGTATCTATTCCGATGCCAGTGAAGGTTTCCAGTACAGATGACTCACATTCGGGGAATAATGACTCACAGCTTGTGTCAGCCGACCTGCCGAGCCGCTCAGCTGCGTGATATTCGTTGTCAGAATGGTGGGATAACTCATCTTTAGTTGTAGAGGGCCTGAAAATTTTTCGAACTAAACTAAACATGTAAAAGTAGATTATTTTCTTTTTAAAATAATTTATTGAAAATTCTGTTAGAATTACATAGGAAAAATATTATTTAATTATTATTTTTGATTTTCACAATAAATTAACATTATTATAATAGTATAAGACTATTTATTAGTTTTATTAAATTCGTCAATTAAATGTTAATTTTTAAAGAATTTTCTTCAAATAAATTCCATATCTGAAATTAAAATATCCATGATTTTTTAGTCCGAAAAATGTAACAAATTGTTATTTTCATGTTTGCTATAATAATATTTTCAAGAATTCCAAATTTTACTGCAGAAAATCTCCGTTAGCTATCTATTACGAGCCGGCATCTTTATTAAGCTTTTATAGGCTACAAGTAGCCAGCCACTTACGTGAATAATATATGGCCAATTTCTCCGAGCAGCCCGCTCTCGTATGTGAAAGGCACCTCGGCTGCCTCGCAGATGGTCCGCAACAAGCAGGGCCTGCCTGAATAACCGTACCTACGGAATTCAAATAGATTATAGTATACAATGTAGCATTTTTAACAATTGATATTACGATATTATTTATATTTCCACTGCACTGAAGGTGATCTAATCTATTTTTGAACGTCAGATACTTTGATATATATATTGACGCATAAAAATATATTAGGTCTGATTGACGAAAGCATTTGTAAATTATCGCAGGTTTAACGGCGGAACTTTTTAAAGTCATAATCCTTTTAAATAAACAAAAAATCTCTTTTTTCAAGACAGTTACAATTTTAAGGTAAAAACAAAAATGCTACTCTGATATTTCAAAATTTTACATCCAGGATTCGCTTTAAGTTTAAGCTAACTCAAGTATCCATTTAAGACTGTTTGTCAACTGATTCAGTTCCATAACTTTTAAACAATGTACACAAAACATAAACAATAACTCGGAGCCGGCTTTGCTGAAATCAACAAACTTAATTCGAGAATGCGACGAATGAAACGAACTCTGACTGGGTAAAGTTTACTCAAGTTATCCAACATCAAACAAGGTATTGAAAAACTTTTAATTCTTATCACAAAGGACTAGCTTGCCTCATGCATAATAATAGTTTTGCTAGAAAAATTGTATGAAGAAAAATTTCTTACAAACTTTTTTAATTACTTAATTATTGTTATATTTGCTATCATGAGTATGACAAATTCAAAATAAAAAAGATAATTTAAAACTGTAAGTACTGTAAAATACTTCTAAATCCTTTAGCTATAGTACTACAGGCTTACAAAATAAGCTTTCATTTCAGAAATAAATATATACCAGCGTAACTTGTGAAATTAAGCTCGGAAAAATCATATATACCTCTCCATCATATGCTCCATTATTTTATAAAAGTCCCATCTATTCATTCTTTGAGGATCTCTTTCTTCTACTTCTTTTTCTCTCAATATTTTTTCGTCAATCAGTTCCTGGCGTCTTATAGCTTCTTCTAGAGGTAGATCAGAATTACTTGACATTTCAACAGCATTAACTACCTCACCTTCTGCGTAATAAAGTGATCGTTTTCTTCTTTTATCATCAAACGTGATATCGACTAAAGTATCATTATTGTTAACTGTCATATCATCTACTTCGCTTATATCTCTTGAAGTGTCTATCTCATTTTCGTTTTCTTGTACATCATTTTCTTCTATATCATTATGCATGTCCCTAGAAACTGTGTTAGCGAAACCATAAATTCTACTGGTATATTCCGTACTATTTGTTGGTAAGTCATATTGAAACTTTATAACAGTACCAACTGTGACAGATGCTTCTTTTAGATCTACAGGAACACCCAAGCCAATGATAAACTGTAAAAATAATTTTATTTCATAAAAACAATAATATTATAATTTAGTCATAAATAATCAATTTTATAACCCATGATCAGGCACGGACCCTTTAATGCAAAGGTTATAAAGCCTAAGTCCACTATCGATGTGTCAAATGCAGGGTAAGCGGACTTAACACTTAAAAAGTGGTTAAGTACTCGCTTGCAAATCTCAGAATTGAACCCAGTATTTGAACCGGCTTAACTTTCCCAAATATATTATCAATATCTATATCTATATCTGTTTTCATAACGTAATCGCTAATAACAAAGTTAATGAGGAATTTATCTAATTGAGATGGAATACAAAATATAGCAGCAACTAATTAATGTGATCAAATAACATCTATATCAGTCCATTCCACTAAACCTGGAATCGAGAAACGATCAAATGAAATTACTCCATTTCTCTTCCCTGGTTTTATTATTTAATACGATTGGCCCTTTCCGCGCGTCGTTTAGTTTTAGTAGATATTAAACCTTATTGTAAGGTAAGTTATCCAGACATCCATTCGTCGACTTTAACAAGACTTATAAAGAGTAATAAGAGTTTAATAGTAATAAATATTCGCCCTACTTTGCAAAACTCGTAAAAGTTTTATTAATATCAATCTTGATTATCCAGATATTTCTTGTTTTTATTTTGCAGCCTTTGTGAAACAATTACTTTGAAATGAAATCAAAAAGTTATTCTTTTGTTTGCTCTACATTTTTAAACTTTAACAATAAACAAGAAAAAATGGTAAGCGAATATTTAATTAATAAAATTAGGGTACGATCTCCCGTAATATTGGAACGAAAGTAATGTATCACAACTGCTGTATTCTAAAACGTTTATTCTCATATAAATTGCCCCATTGTTTCGAACTGAAGGATTCTTTGATAACAATATTTAAAGTCGACAAAGTTATAGAAATGGTATGCATACTTTTAATTACATTTACGTCTTCACCAGTCCATTAATTTACAAATATTTCGAAGCTGTGTATTTAGTTAAATTAAGATTTTTCTTCGACTTGTTTGAATTCAATGTAAAATATTTATAGAAAATTTGCAAAAAATACAACGTAAAAGTTCACATCATTACGACATAGCAAACGAATCACGAAACCTATAACCTATTTAACTGTGACACTAAAAATCATCGAAATCGAAAGATAAATAAAAATTAGCTCAAAAGCGACGAGACGAGCCTTAATTGCATTTGAATTCACGAATAAAAAATACTGCTTCGTTAAGCGAGCTCCAGTGGATTGAAGCAATACTTAAGTTAAATCAGTGTTATGTAAATATAAATCTATTGATGAGATGAAAAATTAGATGTACCTGAGCTCTGGCTGGTCCACCGTCGGGATATACAAGGTATCTTTTGTACCGTTCTCCTTTAGACGATACTATGAGTAAACTAAACAAAATTAATGTGAACATCGTAGGTCTGATTTGTAACGTAGAGCGTGACCGTCGATGTGTGAATACTGTGTAAGATAAAATGTAGAATATTTGCTTAGAGCATCCGCTCGGTGCGTCTAATGAACCGTTATGTTGTTTCAGCGATTTGGGTTGCGATGCTTCGTGATCTATGAACTAGTTCAGGTTTATTTTGTGACAGTTTTGTATTCTGCAAATTAGCATCTAAGTTATGCGATTTATGAATAACCAATTTTTACATTGTGGAAAAATCTCCCATATTCTAAATGTTACCATAAAAACAGTAGTATTATAAATCTAAATTTAACAAATCATTTGTGGAAATCTTTGAGGGTATACATTCATATTTTTCATTTCCAATGAACTGTTCTTTCGAAGAGAAAATTTTGTAATGTAATGATGATGTCCTCCTGACTGATTCCGGCCACGGCGCCAATCTCATTGAGACTAGCCAACTGCGAAGGAGATATTATAGTGCACAAATGTACGCGCAGACACAAGTGCACTCTCTATTCCTGTCACTCTCATTCTCCGGTGGGACGACTGCTCGACACGACCGGTGAGAGTTAAGGCACAGGATTGACGGTTTTACGTGCTCTCTAAGGTACGGGGATGAAACACTGCCAACTTCCCAACTCCGGGCTGTTACTGAGACTTAATATACAGAAATACTGAATAACTAAACTTTTGCCCCAGTCCCGGGACTCGAAACCAGGACCTCCGGGTGCGCAACCGTACTGCATTACACCACCGAGACAGTTATCCATTTTATAGATAAACTTATTTAGATAATGTTTATTCAATCAGATGATAACATAGGCTTACGCTGCCATCCCCCCCAACGTGCGTTCACCTTGTCGTGGTGGGGGGGCTCAGTAGTAGTAGCGAAGCTAAGAAACGCACAGGGAGGTTGCCCACTTCGGTGGGCGGTGGGAGGTGGCCCTCCTCGGGGGGCGGTGTACCATGCGGGTTGCTCCTGGTACTTCTCTGATAGCAGAGTGGACCTTGGAGCAACCCCATGGTTGTGGTGGTCTGCTTTGGCAGACCTGCCGTCGGGGCGTCGTAGTTGAATGCGTAAGCGATCCTGCGACGCCCCATTAAGACGGGGGAAGGTTTTGTTGGGTTTTAGTGGGTAGTACTGGCTGTATTACGCCGGTGAGTCCCACACGTCGTGCGTAAATGCATTTCCCAACGTTAAAAAAAAAAAAAAAAAAAAAAAAAGGCTTACGCTGCCATATCACGCCTAATCGTGCTTTAAGTACCTTTTTTGAATCTTAGGAAATTAATTTATGCAATCTGTATACACACAGATAGTTATAGGAAAATTCATCGACTGTCAAACCAGTACTACCCACTAAAACTCAACAGAAACTTCACCATTTTTACGGGGCATCTCATTATCTTATACATCCTTAAACACGAGTACCTAAAATGCCTATAATAATATCTATATATTAGATATATCTGTAATAGTAAAATATTAAGTTTAAATATACTATGAATAAAAGTGGAGTTGTCTGATATTCTAAGCCAAGGCTCTTATGTAAATACAACGTGCGTCAGCTGATCATAATGGCTTGTTTACATCACTTCATATGAAACCAATTAGTAACATCTATCATAATCGTTTGCTTCGAATATTATCTTTACTAGCACTAAATATAAACACGAGCCAGTAAAACAGAATTTCATGTAAACACAAAATTAAGATGTGTGTTTATAATTTCCATAAAAAACTGTATTCTATTATAATTTATTTATATTTAATTTATATAGTGTATTGTTACTGGTTTAAAATTAATTTAAGAAAAAAATACATTTAACAAATATAAGTAAAAACTTATAAGAAATCATATAATCAGAAGGGAAATAATTAAAATTAGAAGCAACATCTATGTTTAGAGTCGAGCTTAAAAGCTGGCACTTAACTAAAATTTTACTCTAAATGATTAAAGCTTTCAACATGTCATAAGTTTTAAATAGTACAAACTAATTTCAGTTGCACTCATGAAAATACTCGAACATATATAATGAGAAACGAAATGGTTTATATTAGCATAATGCTACAAAGATCAACACGTAGATATGCCATTTTAAAAAAGGACAAAATGCAAAAAAAACTCGTATACTGAGATCTATACTTGTGCTTGTACTTACTGTTCTATTATATTTTCTCCCTTATTCTTTGATCTGACCTCAATGAAATTTGGCAAAGAAATAAATTATACTGCTTTTTAAATAAAAAGTATTTAATTTAAGCCATTTCTCTGATCTTCAGGATGAATTAATATCTTTTGTACTTCTATTACAATTCGTCCCAGATAAAAATATATTTCTAATGTATATATGTATATATATACATTATATATATATATAATAATATAAAATTATATATATAATAATATATATATATATATATATATATATATATATATATATATATATATATATATAATTTAGGGCGACCCAAAAAAAAGGATTATTTTTTTTTCATGTCTCGTGTGAAAATATGTTAGTTTACTATGTTTTAAGAGTCCCCTCCAAAGGACAGCTCAAAAAAAAAATTTTTTAAGGTCGCTCACAATTTTTTTAAATTTCCTAAATCCTCAAAAATCGTTTTTTTTTCAAATGCTTCTTCTCGTAATTTCATTTCTTTTTACATGAAAAATTATGAAGATCCTGAAAATTTCAAGTCAAAATTTTAATATTTTGAGGTCGCTACAATTTTTTAAGTTTTCAAATCGAGTACTTTATATCTATTTGAGCAACTTCTTAACATGAATATTAACGAACTTGAAACTTAATTGTTCATTAATTTTTTTTTGTTTCTCGTGCTTTAATTTCATTCTTTGCATGTGAAATTTAAGGAAAAAAATATTAAGTTCGTTAATATTCATGTTAAGAAGTTGCTCAAATAGATATAAAGTACTCGATTTGAAAACTTAAAAAAATTGTAGCGACCTTTAAATATTAAAATTTTGACTTGAAATTTTCAGGATCTTCATAATTTTTCATGTAAAAAGAAATGAAATTACGAGAAAAAGCATTTGAAAAAAAAAACGATTTTTGAGGATTTAGGAAATTTAAAAAAATTGTGAACGACCTTTAAAAATTTTTTTTTTGAGCTGTCCTTTGGAGGGGACTCTTAAAACATAGTAAACTAACATATTTTCACACGAGACATGAAAAAAAAAATCCTTTTTTTTGGGTCGCCCTAAATTATATATATATATATATATATATATATATATATATACATAACTATCAAATTATTTACACGAACTTATTATATTTTGTCCATTATATGTATACTAGGTGATCACCCTCGCTACACTCGTGTTTGCCTCTACAAAAACAAAAACAAATTTATCCCACGGGAAACGTACATTTTTCCGGGATAAAAAATAGCCTATAAGTTATTCTGATGTATGAGTGATATTATATATATAAATTTTTGCGTAAAATAGTAACAAACATCCATACATTTATACATCCAGATATCTATACATCCTCACAAACTTTCGCATTTATATTATTAGTAGGATGTTTGTTACTCTTTCACACAAACACTACTAACAGCGAGCTGGTAAATGCTATAGATAGAATTTAAAATTTCCATGTCACTAGTTCAATAGTCAAATTACGTTACGTATTCATTTATACTTTTTAAATGAATTTTATTTTGTAATACGTCATATACCTATCTATTTTTAATAGCTACTTATTATGTACATATAAGTGACTTCCGTGTATGAATTGGCAGTACACATAAAAATCATTCATGGTTTTTGTTGCGCTCTTTGTATTTTGAATTACTGTTAGAATAAATGTTATATCTCTCCCGTGACCATGAATGCTGTAAATCATTTGAAACTTCGGGCACCAAAAATCACTAAATCCGCGAAAAAGTCCATAAAGATAGTTTTATTTAAAACGTCAAATATTCGCGTATATGTAAGAAAGTATTAAATGTTATTAAATTCGAATAGATAGTCTATTTAATAACCTAGAAATTCAATTTCAAGCTAGCTTTGATGTGGTAATAGAACATTTTCTATCAGAGGGTGTTTGCGCAAAAATTTTACTGTGGCTCGAGCGTTAGATGTATTTTTTGTTCCCTATTTGGATACTATCTTTCCTGTTGGTGACGTTGATCGTGTGTGCCATTTACTTTATTTATAGGATGGAAGAAGTTTTGTGACTTTGTTTACGTCCCAGTAAATCTATCAACTATTTTATAGGGGCTCAGAATTTTTTGAGTCAGCATTTCCAGTAGTATTTTAATTGCCTTTAGCCGGTTATTGTTAGTGTTGATAATCAGCGGTGAGGTATTAATTAATGTACTAGTAATATAAGTGATTTATATATAAATAAGTACAAGCAAGGCAGTTTTTCTCGTCTGTTTGTCTATTGATTTTCTTTTTTTTTTTGTTTCGTAGGTATCATTGAAAAAAAAATGGAAACCATTTTTTTTCATTTAGATAAGTAAATTCTATTCATATATGCTTTTCTCAAATTTTTAATCATGATTATGCTCGAATTTCAACCATTAGGCAAATCCTAGTGCATAAAAATGTATGCCACCTCTTACTGAGGAAAATCCATGCCCAGCTATGGCTGAATTATTTTGATTGTATACATCTATACATATAATAAAATTGTAACTAAGCCGAATCTGTATATAAAATATTTTTTGGAAAATGTTATTGAAATAGACATTATTATCGATACATAGGCCGAATCTATAGTTTTTAGAATTTTTGTCTGTTTGTCTGTCTGTTACCACATCACAGAAAAACCACTGGAGGGATTTTGATGAAATTTGGTATGGTGATAGCTGGTTATCCGGGTCAACATATAGAATATTTTTACCGCAGGAAAATATCTCATTTTTAAGAAAAAATACATAAACTGCAATGTAACAGTATACTAATATGTAAAATCTAAGAATTTTATTTTTGGTCATCTGAACGCGGGCGGAGCCGCGGGCAATACTAGTTTATTAAATATGCTTCAAACTTAAGATCACGACTATTCTTGCAATAAATAACCCCATATTTCTCTCATTTGATCGATCTTTCTACGCGTTTGAAAATACAATTAAAATCGAAACTCCTTTTCTATCTACTCTGCCAAATATAAACCATTCTTCTTTTTCAGGATAAAAAGCCTACCATCCTTATATAACCACCATTACCACATAATATACATACAGCTAGAAACTTTAAAAGTTTTGTCAAAATATAACCAACTAGCAGAACTCGCAGCTTTGTAAAACTACAAAAACTCTCTAAAAAGGTAGTTTCATACAAACTTTTACCCCCTTATAGAATCAATTTCGAAACATGCTAAAACACGTATTTATTCAATTTTATTGAAAAACATAAATACCAAGTTTCAAGTAATTCTGTTCATAAATATTATTTGGATTGTATTATAACGTGTTTTCCTGTGGGAATTGGATAATTTCCCGCGATAAAAAGTAGCCCTATGTCATTCTCCATCCCTTCAACTATCTCACGCCAATCCGTCAATCCGTTTCGACGTGAAAGAAGGACAAACAAACAAACAAACAAACAAACAAACAAACAAACAAACATACTTCCACATTTATAATATTAGTATGGATACATCATAAGTTGTATGGAGAATCGTTCTAATAACATTAGGTCTAACTCAGTTCCACACGTTAAAACAGAATTGGCCCCAATATCTAACTAACATACGAGGGTCGAATCTACCCAACGTGATTACAAGTTTTACATTTTGGTTTAGCCAATTAACGCGTACCAAACTAGCAATTGGTGACAACTTAGTACGTCCGCACTCGATTTGTTTCGTAAACAACTTTACAAATAAACTAACTCTCTAAAATAACATACGCTTAACTGCACCTAATCGTAAAAGTATGTTTTTCAAATAATTTCGGTATTCGGAACTAGGCTATCTAGGTATACATATATATTTACGAGTAAACGTTTAAAGAGTGTAAAATTTTAAGTATATTCTCAAGAATAAAATATTATATAGGCGAAGTCCGTCAAAATAAATGTTGAAGTTAAAATAGCGTCATTTGCTGTTTATGCTACTATTCTCGATTTTGCCATACATCTATACATATAATAAAATTGTAACTAAGCCGAATCTGTACATTAAATATTTTTGGAAAATGTTATTGAAATAGACATTATTATCGATACAGATGCCGAATCTATAGTTTTTAGAATTTTTGTCTGTCTGTTTGGGATTGCATCACGGAAAAACCACTGGAGGGATTTTGATAAAATTTGGTATGATGATGGCTGGTTATCTTTTCTTTTTTTTTTTTTTTGTGTGTGGGACTCACCGGCAAAGCCAGTACTACCCACTAAAACCCAACAAAACCTTCCCCCGTCTTAAAGGGGCGTCGCAGGATCGCTTACGCATTTAACTACGACGCCCCGACGGCAGGTCTGCCGAAGCAGACCACAACAACCACGGGGTTGCTCCACAGTCCACTCTGCTATCAGAGAAGTACCAGGAGTAACCCACATGATACACTGCCCTCCGAAGAGGGCCACCTCCCACCGCCCACCGAAGTGGGCCACCTCCCTGTGCGTTTCTTGGCTTCGCGCCCGGTTGGGTTGCCGGGCACTACTGAGCCCCCCCACCACGACAAGGTGAACGCACGTTGGGGGGGATGGCTGGTTATCTGGGTCAACATATAAGATACTTTTTATTGCGGAAAAATATCTCATCTCTGAGAAATCTATACTAAACTTTAAAACGTAAGTAGGGACGAACCCGAGCGAAGCGAGTGAGTCGCTAGTTTTTAATATTTGTAAAGATAAGAAAAGCAAATTCGCTATCCAAATAAAGCTATAACAAACGTCAAGTGCTCTATACGTTTAAACCAAACTCTTTAACTTGTACATCTATAAGCAAAAGCCATTGTAAATTAATCTTAATTATCAGCCATTAAAGTATAGATTTGATTAACAAACAACCCAAGCACTGGCAATATATATGTTTATTAGTAAACAGTTACTTTCAACATACAAGTTGTTAATTCCAAGACGGATAGTCGTTTCGGGACCAGATTTATTTAATGGAAAATATTATGACGATTAATTACCTTTACATGTATGTATGTGCTTTTTAAGAATATATAATATCTCTAATCTTATATATATAAAAGAAAGTCGTGTTAGTTACTTCGCTTATAACTCAAGAACGGCTGAACCGATTTAGCTGAAAATTGGCAGGGAGGTAGTTTAGAGCCAGGAGAAGGACATAGGATACTTTTTATCCCGTTCGACCGCGTTCCAATTTTTATGATATTTTAATTTTTGGATTTCTCTTAGTCCGGAATAGGTAAGTATTAAAACATATAATTAAAATGTGAGAAAGAAAGATTTTTTCTTTTTATATCTATTTAAAACGTACCTAGCGACGAACCCGAGCGAAGCGAGGGTGAGCCGCTAGTTTATTATATACTCAAAACATTATATTTAAAGGAGAACAATTTATATACTTTAATCTCCACCGACATGTACATAACAGTACAGCTGTTGAGTCCCTATGTACAGATTGGGCAAAAATATATTATATGGCATAGTAATTTTTATTATAATTTTCAGGTTCTACATACTTTATGCAATATTATATACTCAACTAAACGCTGAGAAAAGACAAAGAAGATATCTCTTGTTCACACCTAGCACTCAATGGGGAGTAAGTACTCACGTTTTATAATATTAAATAAGCAATTCTTGTATATATGTATATATTTGTTTTGTATATCTCTGAAACGGCTTTAACGATTTGGATCAAGTTTTGTATTAATATAAAGTTTTTTTGCTTATCGAAAAAAAAATGCAATTTTTATATCTTATCCGAAAAACGCCAATCGCTCGGTCCTCCAAGTAATATATCTTAATATTACACAAAAAGTCTACCATACTGATACTAGATATATAAAATATATTGCAAAACAAAGTAAGAATTTCATTTGGCGAGTTACCAAATCTATCTTATAACTTCGTATTGCTCGAGACTGTAATTTTTATTTTACTAGTCGATTGATGACAAATGTTACTTAGAGCTTTTGTAAAGTAGTTCAAACTCATTCGTAACTTTTTTTATTTAAAAAATATTTTGTACATTACTTCGTAATATTTTCATAGAATTCTTGTACTAATAAACATGTCATTTTGTTATGAATATATATATAGCTACGCTTGACTGATCCATCATCGCCCAGATCTAATCGCTATATCTAAACTAATATTATAAAGAGGTAAAGTTTGAGAGTTTGTGAGTTTGTGACGTTATAGAGGGGTAATATCTGGATCTAATGAACCGATTTAGATAAAATTTGGTAAGAAGATAGTTTGAAACCCCTTTAGAGGACATAGAATAATGTTTATCCCGGAAATCATCCCTTAAAGCGGTTAATAAAACAGACGATAAAAGGATGAGAATATTTTTGTGAGTAAATTAAAAAAAAATATATGAAACAGCGCCATTCACCCAAATACTAAGCTTAGAACGAAGTTGAAGGAAGAAAAAACTAAGAACATATAAAAATATACATATTTAAGTAAATAATTGATAAATGCAATAAAACTAATAGAAAAATTAATTGAATTCATTAAATGCTATAACCAATATTTTATCGCAACAGGTGTTTGTAACAGTATCCATACCGCTTCCACATCCAGAAACATTAGTAAGCGTTGCGTGGTTCTTCGAAGCCAATTACTATAATGTGGCAAACGCGTCCTATTTCGAACCTTTGCTTGGTGACGTAGAAGTAAGTATTATTTAATATCTATTATATTTGATTTTTGTTCATACTTTTGAACCCAAGCTATGCACAGACAGATGACACAGTCTAAATCACTATAAATATCAAAAATTACATTGCAGTTCGTTAATAATATTTTGCAATATTATTATTAACTAGTGATTTACCCTCGCTTCGCTCAGGTTCGTCCCTAAGTACGTTTTAATTTTTTTGAACGGAACCCTAATTAATTATTTTTAAACATATTGAAATAAATGTAGCCTTAGTCACTCCTTATAACATCAGCTATCTGCCAGTGAAAGTCCCGTCAAAATCAGTCCAGCCGTTACGAAGGTTAACCGGAACAGAGAGACAAAAAATTTAAAAATTGTGTTTTCCTTATAAGTACCGTATATAATTTCATATGCATTTAGTAAAAATCTGTAATTATGACATTACAAACAGACACTTCAATTTTATTTATTTGTGTAGATTTCCATAGTGATATATGTAAGGCCGATACAGAGTTTGAGTCAAAAAATATGTAAAAATGATTTCGTAGTTCAATTCTATCAACTTAGTTTAAGTATGTTGGTAGATAAATAGCTTTTTATTAACCGGATACATACATGTACTATCCGAATAAATACAAATAACAAAAACACTGCAAGCATTTGTTAAATCTAATTATTAGTGCTAATAATAAAGCTACTCAGTGTTTCTGTAATTAAGCTCATTAGTGCAAATGTTGTTAAATTGGTACCATACGAATGAATATTTATTTAGCTGCTATTTTTCTTATATATTACAAGAGTTTTACTACTTTTCATTAAAAACCTCACATGATTTCACTTCACTACAATGATGTACATAGATGTGAGGGATTAACTATCCATCATCCCCTACGTGCTTTCACCTTATCGTGATGGGGGTGGCTCATTAGCGTCCGGTAGTTCTGCTGGGAGCGAAGCCATGAAACGCACAAGGAGGCAGCCCACCTCGGTGGGTACTGTACCATGCGGGTTGCTCCTGGTACTTCTCTGATAGCAGAGTGGACCTTGGAGCAACCCCATGGTTGTGGTGGTCTGCTTCGGCAGACCTGCCGTCGGGGCGTCGTGGTTGAGCGCGTAAGCAATCCTGCGACGCCCCATTAAGACGGGGAAGATTCCGTTGGGTTTTAGTAGGTAGTATTGGCTTTGCCGGTGACTCCCACATAGCCACCTGTATGTATGCAGATGGTGTGCCTAAATAAACGCATTTCCCAACGTTAAAAAAGTAAGGGTATTATTCAATATATTAATATTTAAAAAAAATACCTTCATACTTTGAGTATTTTTCAGTATCTCTTATAATTTCGGATTTCCTACTTATAAAAATATTTAAAAGTATCATTTATTTCTCAAAAGAATTTTACAATTCATACATACGAAAAATTACATTAACTAAAGTTTAACTTAACACTTGGTCGGGTACATCGCAAAGCCAAGACAAGAAACAAATAGACGTTAAGATTAAAAAATGTACACACAGGTTAACAGAATAAGTGAAGTGGAAGAGCTATTGCTCGGTATTTAATTTATGCTAAGTTTTAAGATATATTATATTAAAAAAATTGTTTCATTTTACATAATTATGACATGTAAAATACCTACTTATTATAATATTTTTTATAAGTATATATTGTTATATAAGTCCATAAATATAAATGAGAAAGTTTGGATGGATGTTTGTTACTCAATCATCCCAGAACGGCTGAACGAATCTGGATGGGATTTGGCACAGAGATAGATTGTAATCTGGAATAGTAAATAGATTAATTTTTATCTCGGAAGAATTTACAATTCCCGTGGGATAGATTTGTTTTTATTTTTTACTAGGAACGAATCCGAGCGAAGCTAGAGTAAGTAGCTAGTACTACTAATAATAAAATTCAGTTTAAAAGAATTTGTTACACCCTAATGGCTGCATTTTATTAAAATTGATATCTGATCACTCTTAAGCTTACAACTTATTCATTCACAAATTCAAAAAAAAACAAAAATAGGAAATATATGATGATAAAATATCATAATATAAGATATTGCGTAACATACACATATGAATTATATTTTTCCATTTTGAAACTGATCAAAAACAGACAGACAGATATTAACAGAAAATAGAAAATAATGTAAAATACAACCATTTCATCTTATAAAGAAACAAGTATTATGCACTAACTGCTTAGCTACTCAAAGTTTTTACCAATTTTTATACAAAATATGGCTAAAAGATGACAAAAAAACTCGAATTCTTTATTATTATTCAATTCAATGGCTTGAAAGCGTGCCAGTTGAGCACAGATTACTTCGTCAATGTCACGTAAAATGGAGAAGACAAAGAAGATTGGTCGCTTTGTTATTATAACATGTTAAGTCATATACTCAACAAATTTGATATTTTAGCATATTTTCTTTCTTTTGACTTTTCATCAGATAGGAAGTGTCCGTCGTCACCGAAGTGTTCAAGACACCACTCACATTTTGACTCGACAAGGTGCTTATATCTTCCTAGAGTCCATGCTAAAAAAGTAAGTAGATTCTTAGCATTAGTTATGATATTAAGACGTCATCTCTAAGTTTTGAAGTAATCTTTCAATAACCACTTTGTCCCGAAAATTAATATTTTTACTAAAAAATTGTGTTTATTGATATACAATCCAAACGTACAAATTCAAATATGTTTGTTTGAGGACATACAGTCAGTCAACGACGTAATTTTTGCATATAGATAATTTACATTTCAATTTTTATACTAGTACTATAAAGAGATTTTGTCATGTTATGTGACCTAAGATTTTAGAATGTCTAAAAATTTACATATATATGCATTTGTGTTTAAATCTACACTACAATATATATAAAATTAACATCTTTCTACATTAAATCAATATACGAGTATCTCAAACCTTAACGAATTCAAATTTCAATAATCTCTATAACAGAAGTTATTTAAATTTCATGCTAAAACTTGAACGTTTAACTTTCTATAATTGTTTATTTACTTAAGTTACTTAGTAAAGTAATATTCCAGTCAACATTATACTAATAAAGCGTTAGTACAAGCCAGTTCTTTAATCCAGCTATTCCGCTGCCGATCACGACTCAGTGAGCACCTCAAATAAATTACTTCCCCACACTACACTACATACGTAATGGTGGAATATTTTGACTTAAGACAATTTTATGAAAAGAGCCTACATTTTTAAGACTTTGGACATCCGATTTTAAACTTGAACCCTTATAGAATTTTTCGTGTCTGTCTATATCTCTAGTTGTCCTTTAAATAATTGACATACTAACGTTTATCAGCGGCTCGAACTGAGTAGTTTTGTTTATGGATATTTGCTCAGGCTATATATTTCAAAAAAGTTTTAAGTAAAAAAAGGAAAATCAAAATCTTCAAGTTCAAATATGCGTTTTATATATATAAATCTGTTTAAAGAATAAAAACAATTTACATAATTAGTCTGTAAAGTCAGAATTAAAAAGAAAATGAATATTTCAAACTACAGAATCATAAACAATGTAAATCATCCCCCAAATGCTGTTCTAAGATTTTTTTCTTTTACAGACACGGTTATCCGGGACGCCCGTGCTTACTCAGGGCCATTTGCGAAAACTCGTCACAGTTCTTGCATAACGGCGTCCTCGGCGATTTACTTCATCTCGTCCTCACGTGAGTCGATTTTGTATACGTTAAAAATAAATTACCTATTGGTTTTCAAAATATCTATAATATATATATATATAATATATATAATATATATATATATATAAAATATATATATATATATATATATATATATATATATGTACGATATATTTAGAAAAAATGTCGATATATGTATGTATTTTTTTAATTTTGTTTTTGATTAGTAAATAGAAAAAAAATATTAAAGAAATACAAACATATATCATAATTTAAATCGAATTAATTCGGCACAATATATCTGACTCGAATTACTGAAGTCATGGGTTCGATTCACATGGGTAAAATAGTTGTATTAATATATGGACCTACATCATCGATTGTCTGATCGTTTTGTGCAATTTTGATTGTACAAACACATACTGATCATCCTTTTCTTTAGTTCACTTATTTATAGATGCTAATGAAGCATGTAATTGCTTAAGTATACTGCTGACTAAATTAAAAGTAACTCTTTACAATCGCCACCTAAGAGCGATGAGTGCATTATTTATATAACTGCGAAAATTATAATCGGAGAGAGAAATCACTATATTCTCTATCTGGATCACTTACTTTGTCTTTTACAAAATATCACATTTTGGAATATACATATCATACAATATGGAACTCGCTTTGAAAATCCTTATTCAAAATATTACTTTATATCTTATTGTAAACAATTCTTGTACGAGAACTTCCTAAAGCACGTCGTGTCTTATTGCTTCTATCAGTGACTAGAGTGTTTTTCATCCAAAGAATCGACATTGCAATTTAGCTGAGAGATACAGCTATATTTTAAATACAATATATATATATATATATATATATATATATATATATATATATATTGTATTTAAAATATATATATATAATTGTATTTAAAAAAAAAAACAACAAATTATATATATATAATCATTCAAATAAATGAAATCCTATATGCACAATATTGGCATCTAGTCTACTATGCAGATTTTTTTTCAAACATTATAACAATAAACCTCAATGAACACAAAACAATTAAATGTGTAACAAAAGCAATCAATCATTCCATAGATTTTATCACATCACTACAAATTACTTAGTAGTCAGAAACAAGAAAATTACTTACCATTCAAATAAACCGTAAAATCAAATGGGCCAAGCAAAATACATAAACTACCTAATATAGGTAAGTTACGTCAGAGCATGTGGTGACTGTGAAACATTGTGGCGCAGATGAAATCTAATAAATATAGCAGCTATTTGCTCAGATTCCAGATTCTGCTCTTAATGATTCGTCATATTTTACCACATTTTGTACATTTAAATATATTTTTATGTAACGTGGAATTACAAAAATCTAGCAGTGTCTCATATTTGGGGTATCGCGAGTTCGATTTCTGTACAGAGCAAGTACTGGTTTTAAGCATTGTGAAATTTACATAAGAGTATACACATGTAAACATACTTATTATAAACTAAGTTATATATAACTTTAAATACATACATATTATAAATATAAACACCAATGACTGGAGTACAAACATTCGTGCTCATCACACAAGTTAATCTCCCCAGCGGGTCTCGAACCCGCGACCGCTGGTACAGCAAGTATGGTCACTACAAACTGAGCCAAACGTGTCGTATTTATTTTGTCTACGTTACAAAGCAAAATCTCTCTACTAATAATCAAAATAATCAAGTCTACTTAAAGCCTTCTTCTATATTTAACCTCATTCAGAAATTACTCCCATTCTCATGAGTTTAAATCACAAGTACTCAACAAGATAGTAAATTGAAAATATGATATCATATAACATATGTAGCATAGAAATTGTCTTGCACTTAGTGTTGATGATCTGAAGTGGTTTCAAGGGATTAATCTGTTCTAATCATAGCGGCAAACTTAACGTGACCGTCTCGCGCAGTGGTGCTTTAAATTACTGTGCCTACTAAGACAATGTCAAAGTTATCATCATCATACACTAAAACGATGTATATCATGTTTAATATTTCATACATTTTACACTATGCTTTTTTCTTCAGGCATTTTTTAAGATCTTCTTTTTGAGAAGATGTTACAAAATTAAAGCTTTGTTTTTTTGTTTTCAGACCGTCATCATCCTTAGAAGAGGAAATTGAAGATTGCTACTACGAAGCAGAGTATTGGGGCTTAGAAGGCAAATGCGACTATTACAAGCATTCATGTCCTAAAAATCCTATAGATAGTATATCAATTAATATTGGTTAAAACCTTTTTTTGATTGACTAATCTTTGTCTATTAAGTTATTGTTAGTGGAATATTAATTGATTTCATTCATCATTGAACTTTACCTGACTTTGATGCACTACTTATACTTACGATCATTCAGCTGTTCGTTTTTCTGGAAGAGTTTTGTACGTTTGTATTCTCCTATAGAAGTAAACTATTTAGCAGAAGAGATTCTACATATATTCCGTATGCTATACGGAATATATGTATGTATGCTATGCAGAAGGACCAGTATCACCAACATAGCCCGCAGGATATCCAAACTCAAGTGACAGTGGGCGGGGCACATCGCTCGCAGAACGGATGGTCGTTCGGGTCGAAAGTTCTCGAGTTGCAGCCACGTATCGGAAGACGAAGCATGGGCAGGCCTCCCACAAGATAAACTGACGATTTGGCAAAAGTCACTGTAGCCCACTGGATGTGGATGGCATAAGACTGACTGTCATGGAAATCTTTGGGGGAGGTCTATGTCCAGTAGTGGATGTGCTTCGGCTAAAACGAACAAAAGAATGGTGCTAAATCATAGGCAATTTTTATAAATAAAATTCGATTATTTAGAAATACGTCATGTTCTAAATATATAAATTATTTATTATATTTTTAGTAAATCATTATTACTATTTAATAAAAAAGGTACTTTGAGTTCAGAATTGTTTTAAAATTAATAACAGATTATTGTAAAAGTACGTACTACATTTTTCTTTAGAAATTTGCCAGAGGTGTAATCTATTAACTACAAAAGGGTCATGAAAATAATCACGCTGCATATACAAAAAAAAACAAACAATTGCCGATAAAAAACTAGCATTCTTTAAACACCAGCTAAAATCTAAGCCTACACCCACTATTGATAAAAATAACGAGAAAGGTTATCTACAAACTTTATCGAGAATAAAAAACAACCACTCCAATCTATGTTAAAACTATTGAGCGACGAAAAAAAGCTGAACAATCTGGTACTCAATCAAAATATCGTTATCGGTTGCACACAACACAATGCACAGTATTAATCCCTATTCCCTTTGGAATTAGGTTCATATTCCAGTAGAAATATCTTCAAAGGTACAGCTGACGTGGTAAATGTTTGCTTATAGGAAAATTGCTTGCACTATCGCCCTACAACAGGGTTGAAAAGGGTTTTCTAAGAAACTTACATTATTTTGAAGTGAATATTATAACTATAAGTTAGTGTTAGGTTTGTAAGTCCATATTAATAATATTGAGGAAATTTTAGTCTATATGAAACTAGTGATGTACGTCTGAGACCTTAATTTTTTTACTTTCTTAGATTTGTTTTCACAATTAAGATATTTTATCCGACTTCCCAAAAAGGAGAAGGTTCTCAATTCGTCGAAATCTTTTTTTCTTTTTTTATGTATGTTCACTGATTACTCAAAGACGCCAGAACCGATTTTGAAAATTTTAGTTTTGTTTCCAAGGGTATACTCCCCAGGTGGTCCCATATAAATTTTATCGAAATCGGTCAAGCAGTTTTAAAAAAATCAACAACAAATATTTTTTTAAATAAATTGTTTAATGGAATATGTCATTAAAAAACGTTCTTCTTACAAATTACCTGATTATTACGCCTACACTAAAAATGGAAAAATAAAAACTTTTAAAAAAATAATAAAAACCGACTTCCAGGCACTAAAATGTAAAAAATAACTAAACGGGGGTTTTCATTTAGAATCCTAATCAGATATTTTCGAAGTCGATGCCAGCCTACATTATTTTAAGATATGAATGTCTAATAGTTAATATGTATTTTACGTTTGGAAATATACTAGATTTTCTTTGCGTCGGCCTGAAAGTCGCTTTTTTTTTAAGTTTTTATATTCTGTTATCATGCAATTATTTAAATGACTGAGTGAATGTATGGATGTCGATGTGATGGTTATATTAAGCTGAAAATTAGGAAAATTCCTTTAAGGTGCCAAAAGTATTAAAACATTTGATTGCCATCCCATGGGTGGGATCTTTTACCAACATCTTTAACTATTGGTATACCTAATAATAATTATTGGAATTCTATGGTTGACATAAACCATAGAGAGATCTTAAGAATAAAAAATTATATTCTATTTGTAGCTAGTTAATGTTAGTATTAAAAGCCGAGTCTATTGTAGTTTTCCGTAAGCCCATAACGGTTTAAGAATTAATTTATCTATACATATAATAAAATGGTAACTGAGTCAAATTGTAAATTAAATATTTTTTGAAAAATCTTATTGAAATAGACATTATTATTGATACAGAGGCCGAATCTATAGTTTTTTTGTCTGTCTGTCTATCTGGGAACGCATCACGAAGAAACCACTTTACATATTATATTTGATGAAATTTGCTAATTAGATTCATGATAGTTGGTTATCCGGGTCAACATATAGGATACTTTTTACTGCAGGAAAATATCTCATTTCTGAGAAATCTATACTAGACAGGATGAACCCCTCGGAGTGAGGGTAAGTTACTAGTATTATGTATAAAGTCATTATTACGTCAATTTACAGTTTGTATTTTCTACCAATCGTCCAGTAAAGGTATTGATATTTAGAGATTTCATTCTTTTTGCTTGTATTTGAGTTTTCCGATTCACTTTGCTTTAGATAGATTCCAACATATTTTACAAAACTGTACTGCGGTAGATCGCAGATATTCTGGGAAAGGACAGGGCATTTCTTTTTGCAGAAAATAAAGGTTTTGACTGATTTTATGGTACTAGCATGAGTTTTCCATATAGACAACTATCATGAAATTCTGTTTAGGCTATTTAAGAAAAAAAATTGAGCACGTATTACGTGCTAGTATAACAATGTCATTGGCAAGGTTGCTGCTTATTTGCAGTAACTCACGATAATTTTTAATAAGAAGTTATTTATTGCAAATTATCTTATATAGTTATTATCAGTACAAAAATTTAAATATAAGGGCTTATTTCTATATTACATATATTATTTACTTACATTACAATATCAGATTCTATATGCAGCTCGTGCTATAAAAATAATAAATTTCTAATCTTATAGATTACATTTTTATGGTATTTAAAAATTCTGTAACCTTAAAAAAATATAAATTTTCAAACAAACTAATGTGACTTTTTACAGTATTAATAGATTTCTTCTACTAAAGACCGAATTTAAAGTAATTGAGAAAACACATTCAATCTATACGATTAATCTTAATCTTAATCATAAGAATAATACCTATAATAAAATTCTAACTGAGTTGAATTTGTACATTAAATATTTCTTAGAAAATCTAATTGAAATAGACATTACGATACAGAGGCTGAATGTATAGTTTTTTGAATTATTGTTTGTCTGTCTGTTGCTGGTTATCTGAGTCAATATATATGATACTTTTTACTGCGGGAAAATATCTCATCTCTGAGAAAACTATACTAAACGTAAAAACGTAATTAGGGAAGAACCCGAGCGGAGTGGGGGTGAATTACTTGTGTATTCGATATTTTTATAAGCACTCTAGAACTATTCACTTTAAGAGTGATGATACTCGTACATAGCATGAAATAAAGCTACACAATATCTTTAAAAGTATATCTGTTTGTTTGTTAAACATATAATTTAGAGATTTTTAGCACAAAACCCCTAATTGTAAGGCCTCCATAATATTTTCTATTTCCCATTCAGAACATGTGAATGGTTTTTACATTTTAGCTCTATCAAAAAAGAAAAGCTCGATATGTAAATTTTCAAAATGAAGTTCATTTAAACTCCTAGTTTTATTCTATTGCAATCACAAAGCAATTTGATAGTAGAGAACAAAGCGAAAATTATTACCACAAAACAGTTATCAACTACATTCTAGTTGGATAGCAACGCCTGCTATAATAATAAGCCTTATAACTCACTTTAGCTAGCATACTGATATCTATACATATAATAAAATTCTGAGTCGAATCTGTACATTAAATATTTTTTGGAAAATCTTATTGAAATAGACATTATTAACGATACAGAAGCTTCGACACAGAATACAACGATAAAGAATGTATATTTTTTAGAATTTTTGTTTGTCTGTCTGTTTGTGACCGCGTCACGAGAAAACTACTCAACAGATTTTGATGAAATTTGGTACTATATCATAGCTATCAGCTGGTTATCCGGGTCAACATGTAGGTAGAGTGAACATTTCTACTGCGGGAAAATATCTCATTTCTGAGAAATCTATACTAAACGTTAAAACGTAACTAGGGACGATCCCGAGCAGAGTGAGGGTGAGTCGCTAATTTTAAATAATTTTCCAAAAAGTTAGTTACATTTAAAATGTCAAATTTCGCGTAAATCTACGCAAGTGTTATCAATTTTTCTTATATTTTGACCATTGAACAAGTTTTTTTACATTTTCCATTCAGACTATTCAACCCTTATCTAAATTGGATGTAATATTGCAACCACACGAATCAACATGATATGCATCTGCATTAAACAAAACGCCGAGAGTCGCTTTATTCATCGACGCCAATTAAACTGTTTGCACCTCTTGGTGTTTGGGAAGCGATTTTATTGCTGCCGTTCGAAGCTCAGAATTATTGTTGACATAACCTTTCCTCTGCAGCTGTAAATATTTGCATAAAACGAGGTCACGTTTTAAATTTTGCTTTAAAATTTTGATTATAGTACTGTTTATATTTACTGTATGGATTTAACAGTTAGTTGTTAGTGAAGGGAAAAATATCAATCACATTATTATTACTAATGTAGAACGTATGTGTGTCTGTTTGTTACTCCTTTAAGCTGAAATTGCTGCACTGATTTGGATGAAATTTGGTATGTAAATAGATCATGCTAAGCATAGATTATTTTTGCTAATAAAATTTATCATGTAGTGATTCTGTCAGTATATGATTTTATAAATACCAAGAACCTATGGAGGCATCTGAAAGAAGCAAAGGTAAATTAATTGTAATATTAATGAAAAAGTTATCATTTTAACTAGATAATGAATAATGGCTAAGATCATTTTTTTTCTCATTACGTATAGACTTGACTGGCAATAAAATTAAGCTAATCAAGTTTTAATGCCAAAGTTTTAATGGGATATCTCCCTTCAATACGAGAATGGAAGTGCGAGTCAAAAACCCAACGTGCTGGCCAAACATAGATTAACATACTTCTCCCAAAAACAACTGTCGTAAAGATATGGTTATTGAAATTATACAGGGTTCAAAACCAGAACTTTAAACCTGTTTCCAAGCGATTTTTATGAACTTTTTTTCCTTTTTTTTATAAATATGTACCTATTACTATCTATACATATAATAAAATGGTAACTAAGTCGAATCTGTACATTAAATATTTTTTGGAAAATCTAATTGAAATAGACATTATATTCGATACAGAGTTCGAATCTATAGTTTTTAGAATTTTTGTCTGTCTGTCTGTCTATCTGTAACCGCATCACGAGAAAACTACTGGACAGATTTTAATGAAATTTGGTATGATGATAGCTGGTTATCCGGGTCAACATATAGGATACTTTTTACCGCGGGAAAATATCTCAGTTTAGATAAAAAACACAAAAACTACATTGTAAGAGTATACTAATATGTAAAACCTAAGAATTTGGTTTTTGGTCATCTGAACGCAGGTGGAGCCGCGGGCAATGCTAGTATACTAATAAAAATCTCTATCCTATACAAGTAGTTAAAATATATCCGATCAGTGATCCGATCTGTGAAATTTAATTTTTGTGCCATTTCTTATTAATTCAATACTTACAAAAGTAAAAGAAGGATTAGTTTAAACGATCCCATTCTCCTTTATAACGGAATTCTATTCCATATATTCCTCTCGTGATAAACATACTAAGTACCGTTTTAAAACAATTAGCGAACGATTTCACCTTCCAAAGCAGTTTTGAACCAGCACTTTGTTAACGTTCTCCGGTTTTATGATAGTTTTGATTTTTTTCATTCATAAAATATAATTTAAAATATATGTACACATAATTACTTATATATAAATAATATATATTACAATAATAATTAATAATTAAACTAAAACCTCTTCTTAAAAAAACAGATAATATACATACTTCTATTATATGCTTATTATAGATTAAAACATTTTTTTATGATAAAAATAAAATTTATTATGCACTATTTTAAAATACTTTCATAGAAGCATTTTGAAATGACCTAAATCCAATTGACATTATGGTAAGAAAAATCCGCTTTTCTACTTCACGTTGATGCTCTAATTCAAATATTTTAGCGAGCAAGTGTTACATTTTTTCTAGCAATGGCTGCTTGAAGCCAATGAGGTACGAGACGCATTCCATAACTGTCTAAGTTCAAACATATACGTTATTATTAGAAGCTTTTAAGGAACAATATGAAGTGTAACAGTGCCATAATTTTAGTGTAAGTACTAGTTTTTATATATTTTTTGTACACTTTAAATAGACTTGATCCCAGAAAAAAAGGTTTAATGTTTCAAATCGCTTTAAAATACTATTTTTTTTTTCATAGTGTTGTATTTAGTTCGAATACTTAATGAATACTTTAAGTTATACTTTTTTATAATTATATTATAACAAAAAAATAACACAGGAACTGTACATTTTTCCAGTAAAAAAGTAGCCTAGGTGTTTTCTGATGTATAACCTATGTTATTGTAAAGTTTCATCAAAATCCATTTGGTAGTTTTTGCGTGAAAGAGTAACAAACATACATACATCTATATGTATACATTCTCACAAACTTTCGCATTTATAATATTAGTAGGAAGTAGGAAGTAGAATTGTATGGCAAATAAGTAAATGCCAAATAGATTAATATAGCACGTTATATAAAAAAATAGATACGGTTTAGGTCAAATCTAGATATATCTAGACATATTTGGAATTATAAATAACCCGTATACTTTACTTTACAAATAGAATAACTCAGTTTACAGACATTTCTTTGCCAAGTAAAAATTTCTTTAGCCAAACTTGAGTCGAGCGCAAACTCCATTTTAATTTTAAATCTTTTCTTCCGCTCCAAAGACGCGTTTCACGTTTTATATTCGTCCATATAAAATGCTTTGGCTATATTTATTTTGGTGTATATGTTAATGGTTTTAACAGCCAAGAAATAAAATTGTTTATTAAAAATAATAATCACATAGATACCTAGCACACAATTCTCACATTTGTTGTAGAAAATAATATAAACACATGCAAAGAACAAAATTGTAAGTCAGTATTATAACAATTTTGAATCTACTTAAAATATAAGTGGAAATTAACATATATTTTTTAGTTTACGTCAGTATTGAGCTATAACATTGTTCCATGCAATAGGCGGCTTTATAAATTCAATAAATATCATATATATATATATATATATATATATACTAGCGGACCCGACAGACGTTGTCCTGTCTACACGTCTTTAATTTGAAAATTTCAATTTTTTTTAATAAAATTTTTTTATGAAAATTATTATTCAAATTGTGAATCTAAACCATTCCCAGATCCCCTTGAACACACACAAAAAATTTCATCAAAATCGGTCCAGTCGTTTGAGAGAAGTTCAGTGACATACACACTCACAGAAGAATTATATATATAAAGATATATATATATATATATATATATATATAACAGCCCTTATATATATATTATTATTATATATATATATATATATATATATATATATATATATATATATATATATATAACAGCCCTTGATGATACTGAATGTTTTTAAGGCACATTTCTTGAAAACATCATATTTATATAATAATTTTATTTTTTTCTCAAAGAATTGTATACGAGCACAATAAGTTTAAACACGACAGAATTTATTTTTCAAAATTAGTCCTTATACCTTGCAGAATGTATTTATTGCAAAATATTAATTAAAAAGTCTAATTTCATAGATATTTTTTTGTTTCTAAATAATTGTAAGGGATTCTTAACTTTAAATATAAAAAAATATAAATATGCTGGGACATAACACACAGCACCATCTAGTTCCATGGTAAGCTACATGGCCTGTGTTATGGATACCAGATAGTAGATACACTACACACACTTTAAATACTATAAATATAAATATTCTATAAATATAAATATTCGTGCTCATCACACAAATGGATGCTCCCAGCGAGACTCGAATCCGCGACCGCTGGCACAGCAAGTGGGGGTCATTACAAACTAAACCAAACGTGTCGCTAAGTTTTCATTAATTTTTTCTTACTTTCAAAATTTCATTATTTATTTTATTTATGAACATGAAATTCTGATATATTACAGTATCGCCTTACTGATGTCGCGAAGCAGATGTCACGATGTTGCAAAACGTGGTCTCATTTTCCCTCCAACGAGTTTATACGGAGTAAGTATGAATTGAATAATTTAATTTATACTAGTACCTGGATCGCATTTGCAAGCCTTACTTAAAATATAAATTATATTATCAACAATATGAATTAAGCTCTAGAGAGATAAAGCTTCTATAAAAGCTACTATTTATATGTACAATATTTCTTCATTAACTCCATATCCATTGTTATATTATAAAGAAAGTCATTGTTCCAGTCTATTAGTTACATTATTAGGGTTCCGTAATCAACAAGGATTTTTTACTCACATACATATTACTCACGCCGACAGTGGTGAGATAAAATCTTGAAAATTTTTTTTACTTTTAATCACAGAACAAATTACGATAAATTTGGCAATCACATAGATTGCATCTCTCACTTTCCACTACTATTACCATGCAAGCAAAACCGCGAGTAAAAACTAGTGAGTACTTAGTGTATACTTAGTGTAGACATTAACTAAACTAAGTTTTAAGTGTGAAAATTTGCTCAAGAAATCCTTATATATGTAAAACGAAGGATATTATTGAAAATTCATACCCCATAACGGTTTAATAGAAAATGAAATATTGTATCGAAGTTAGATATTTTTTAAGGTCTGTTTGTAAAGCCGATGGGAAATTCTAATGCACTCATTACGTATACTTAATAAATGCCATTTTTTATCTTTCAGACATTCGTAGCAATAGCTGTACCGCTTGACATTCCAGATAGGAACGTCTTCGTGTCATACAATTTCGAATCGAACTACTCCGTGGTTACCAATATCACACAAATCGATGAAGTTATATTTCCCAATTTACCTGTAAGTATTTATATATTTTTACTTTATTTTACTCATATTTAAAGTTGGAAACCTCTTTAAATAAAACTATCAATTCGGGGTTTTTTCTGAAAAATCAGAAAAGTTTTATTTAAAATGTCAAAAATTCGCCTAAATCTAAAAAAATAAATTATTTAAAAATCACTTGATACGGGAATGAAAATATCATAACGTATATACAGATTACTGTATGTCTGAAAGAAAGTTTCCGAAATACGTGAAAATTACGCCAACCTTCATTGTGCCACCATCGTATTCCAGCACTGGGACGTTTCGTTAATATTATTAACTATCGACTTACCCTGACATCGCTTGGGTGCATTCTTAGGAGCCTGGCATGAGCATATTACTCTATACCAGTGGCGAAGGGTCCACACAAGACGTAAACTAACATATATTTTGCTATAATTTTACATACATTTAATTTTTAAACGTATAAATATTCTTTTGGATATACATACATACATATATATAATAATAGCTTTATTTCTTTCTGCATTAATACGTAGTAGCTGGGCTACCGAGCTTCACTCGGAGTTTTTGGCTTAAAGTTCAATTTTCTTTTTTTTTAAACTAAAAACTTGAATAAATATTAAAAAAAAAACAAAAGTAAAAACTGTATGCGAGATTCGAACCTGGGGCCTGACCTGTGATTGATGATCTTACACCTTGGCCGCTTGACCATGGGCCTCGAGCGTGCAAATTACCGACCATATTTTGCGTGGAATAATGAAAATGAAAACTGCATGAAAACTCGAAAACACGCGTTTTCTCAGACATAAGGCTAATCTGGATCGGATCTGGATTTATCACCACCGAAACCCCCTGTATACTAAATTTCATGAAAATTGTTGGAGCCGTATCCGAGATTCAGATTATATAAATATATATACAAGAATTGCTCGTTTAAAGATATAAGATATAAAAATTGTATATTTTTGGAACGGCTTACCTCTGCTAAAACTGCACCTTTCGCCACTGTTCCATATCATAATTGTCTTTGAAATATATTTCAACATTTGTCCATTCAATTTTACTGTAAAATATTAAAATATTTCGTAACAGATACATACGTTAACACATATTTCGTGGCAGATACAAACACACATAGTGACAGATAAAATTTGAAACTATGCGAAATGGTCGTAAATGCTCAGAAGAAGTTAATTATGAATAAAAAAATTTGAACATTTAAATTTGAAAAACACTATTTCCACTCGAGAATCGGTTATTGATGAAAAAAAACGCCACATCCTATTTATTTGCCGGAGCTGACAGTATCGTTTATAAGGACTTCCTATACTTCCGGAGGACTTTACTTGCAATTCATCCTACAATCGTTGAAGCATAGTAATTTTCAATTTTCTTGTTAATGGTTGCAAACTATGCCAGTTAAGAATGGAGAAAACACAAAATAGTAATTTTAAAGATTGTATTAATGGAATCATAAAACGTCAATCTATATAGATAAATAAAATTAAAGTGTATGTTTGTAATGTTAAAATAACAACTTTTTACTTATAAGAAAAAAACATTTTTAATTTTTTTGTCTGTCTATTTGTTCCGGCTTATGCCTCAATGCGGCTAATCCAAAACGGATGGGCCGATTTTGACGGAGCTTTTACTGGCAGATAGCTGATGTTATAAGGAGTAACTTAGGCTACTTTTATTTTAGAAAAAGCATTAGAGTTCCGCGCAAAAAACCCTATAAAGGAAGGAAGCGTAAGTCGCTACTCCCATACATTTTGTAGATTTCTATTCTAAAACGATTATAGGATGACATCTTATCTAAGCTTCCCATAAACTTTCCTTCATTTAGTTTAGATAAATAAAAATGTTTTAATTATAAGTGAGAAGCTTATATTTACGTACAAAAAACAGTATTATTGTCGACGGGGAATTAAAAAAGGAGGTCAAGTTAATGACGCCTAATAAAATAAATTGAAAGCAAATGTTATTCAGCTCGCTGTCCTGTGGGAACTCTTAGCTCCATAAAACCTAAATGATATCTGTGAACAAGTGTTATGTTATATCAATATTATTATAATAACTAGCGTACGTTACGGTACGATTTAAAAGTGAGTTTAGATTTTTCAGAGATGAGATATTTTCCCGCAGAAAAAGTATTCTAAATGTTGACCCGGATAATAAGCTATCATCATGCCAAATTTCATCAAAATCTGTCGGTGGTTTTCTTGTGAAGCGTTCCCAGACAGACAGACAAAAATTCAAAAAACTATAAATTCGGCCTCTGTATCGATAATGAATATTTCTATTTCAATAAGATTTTCCAAAAAATATTTAATGGACCGATCCGACTCAGTTACATTTTATTATATGTATAGATAGACTGTGTGACTTACCTTAGTGGTATTTATAAATATTAAACCAAGCAAAACGTTCGATTTTTCCATCCTATAAAGATTCTCAATATCGATATCTAAGATTTTTACTTTTAAAAGTATGAAATCTCCAATTTCACATTAACCCTATTTTTTCCATCTCTAGAGACTATTCTGCTTAAAAGTTAAAACTTTGGATTAGAATGATCATCGTTTTCACCCAAGTTTATTTTTCTGAGGTTTCACATCAAAATAAAATAATGCGTAGTAAATAGTATGAAATACATAGACTATATATTATCTGTCTATATATTATCAACTGCCTCGGTGGTGTAGCGGCTAGCATGTACGGTTGTACACCCGGAGGTCCTGGGTTCGAGTCCCGGGTCGGGCCAAGTTTAGTTATTGAGTCTTTCTGTATAGTAAGCCTCAGTAACAGCCCGGAGTTGGGAAGTTGGCGGTGTTTCACCCCCGTGCCTCGGAGAGCACGTAAAGCCGTCAGTCCTGCGCCTTATCTCTCACCGGTCGTGCCGAGTAGTCGTCCCACCGGAGTATGAGAGTGACAGGAATAGAGAGTGCCCTTGTGTCTGCGCATACACTTGTGCACTATAATATTTCCTGCGCAGTTGGCTAGTCTCAGTGAGATTGGCCGCCGTGGCCGGAATCGGTCAGGAGAACATCATCATCATATTATCTAATATATAAATATCTCGTGATAGGGTGTTTGTGTCGCACTCTTCCGAAAAAAATGTTCTATATATTTAGTAGGTACGAGAATAGGTTGTAAAGTATTTTTCACCCTCCTACACCTACCCCCTGTTTTAAGTAACTAGGGGTGTAACCGAGCTGAGCGAGGGTGAGTGTTACCGCGTTTTACTGTGAGAACGAGATAATAAGTAGCCTATGTCACTTTCCAGCCCTCAAACTATCTCTACATAAAATCAAATCAAAATATACTTTATTCAAATAGACTTTTACAAGCTCTTTTGATTCGTCAATTTTACATTTTAAATTAAAATTAGATATCAGTATAGTCAGTCCGTTAGGAAGCTACCACCGGAGCTCGGAATGCAGTTTTCTGCTGAGAAGAACCGGCGAGAAACTCAACAATCGCTAATCGGTCACTCTGTTTCGACGTGAAAGACTGACAAACAAACACACTTCACGTTTATAATATTAGTATGGATATAGACTCAAGCCAAACTCGAATTCTAAATTCTGAAGCCGTATACTAATTTTAAAATAATACATTATTAATAATTACATCAAATAGATTACAAAGATATCTATATATGATTACAGGTAATTTCTGCACGTCACACGCGAAGTATTACAAGGGAGTTGGCATACACGGCGTTGGAAACTAAATTCAAAGAGTAAGTACTCTCTTGATTGAAAATACTATCTGTTATCGAGACACGTTCTTCAAACAAACAATTGATATCTGAGATTTGAATGTTGGAAATTTACAAAGATATACATATATTTACATAACACGGTGTCTCACTAGTTTGTAATGATACATATTGTAAGTTTTAAATTGATGTATTTTGCTTGTGTAGAATGTGTTTCTACTTCTAGTATGGAGATTCTCTTAATTTTTATATTTCTGGTTAAGCTTATGCAAATAAACATAGTCCAGTGATGTGTTTCGAAGGTCGTGGGTTCGATTCGTGGGCCAAGTAAATGCTTATACTGATCATACAGATACTTTCTTAGATTTACGCGAATATTTGACATTTTAAATAAAACTATCTTTTCGGATTTTTTCGCGAATTTATTTTGATTTTTCTTTTTGACGCTTCCAATACTTTATAGCAATCATAATCACGGGGGAGACCTTTTTTTTCCTGTGTAGGCTGTCTGTAACAACTAAATAATACCTTTGAGACTACTAACATCTCAGTCTCTCCCGTGACCATAATTGCTGTAAAGCATTCGAAACGTCGGAAACCAAAAATCTAAATAAATTCGCGAAAAATCCGAAAAGTTAGTTTTATTTAAAATGATCATACAGATGTTAATAAGTGACATTATCAGCATTGTTTTGAATGTTGATAAAAACCAAACAAAATGGTGAGAATATATTGTTTTCTTCGCACAAAAAGTGACGATGACGAAGAAAATGATAAGTATGAACTACTAAAATTATTAGGTATTTCGTGTGCATTGTTAGTAAACTTCCGTTTCTTTTATTTTTTTATATCACATGAAGAATCCAGCAGGATTCTATCAAAGGAAAAGTTTTACCGAAAAATGTTGTTATTTCAGACATGGCATGAACGGTAAAGAATGCCTGCTTAGAAACATTTGCGAGGCAGCCGAGACACCACTTCACCACAACGGTCTTTTAGGGCATATCATGCATATCGTTTTCACGTAAGTCCCATTATTTATGTATTATTAGCTTACTAGCGACACAGCTCACCTTCGCTCTGCTCGGATTTGTTCCTAGTTGTGTTTTAACGTTTAGTATAGATTAGAATAGAATTCTAAATGTTGACACAGATAACCAGCTTTCATCATACTAAATTTCATCAAAATCTGTCCAGTGGTTTTCTTGTGATACGCTCCCAAAAACACATAGAAAAATTCTAAATTCTAATTCTAATTCTAATTTCATTAATTTCTAATTCGGCCTCGGATAATAATGACCGTTTCAATAAGATTTTCCAAAAAATATTTTATGAACAAAATTCGACTCAGTTAGAATTTCATTATATGTATAGAAGGTAACTTAGTTTATTAAAGTATAAATTCTTAATTTAATCACATTTTCTATGTACAATAAAGAAAATTACAAATATACTTAATTATATATATATATATATATATATATATATATATATATATATAATTAATTTAATTGATAAGTCATGTTGACTTTTTATGTATAATGGACAGTAGGTACAGTGAGTGATCGAGCTTCGATCAGCATTTTTCGCAACAAATATAAAAATTACATTTTTTCCCAGAAAATAACCCCTATATAAATAAACTTAAAAAGCAAAACCTTATCTAAATACAGAATTTAATACAAATCGTTAGAGCCGTTTTCGAGATACACGAAATGAATGTATACATTTACATTGCACAATGTACATACGAATCGCAAGAGCTGTTTCCGAGATATGTATCCCGTATGTGATAGGCCATATGTTACTAACAATTTTATATGCATCTACTATCTAGTAATAGTTATACTATAAAATGTACGAATTTTTAAAGTTTTTCTGTAGCGACGAAGATTACTTTAAAAGTAGCATAAGCTATCATTTACAATATCAATGATGAAGAAAATAATGCTCACAGAAGGTATAAAAAGAAATATTATTCACCATTTTAATATATCTATTCTAATATTATAAAGAGGAAAAAATTTGTTTTTTTTGTTTGTTTGTTTGAATCGAATAGGCCCCGAAACTACTGAACTGATTTAGATGAAATTTGGTAAGATAGTTTGAGACCCTAGAAAGGACATAGGATAGTTTTTATCCCGGAAATCATCCCTTAAGGGGGTGAAAATGGAGGTAAAAGATTGTACGGGGAATCAAGCTAGGGACGAACCCTACCAAAGCGAGGGTAAGGTGCTAGTAACTTATATTATACATGGTATTTATTTTTATATTCATTCATTAATTAATATATGAATATTTAATATAAATTAACTCTGGTCCATTTGTTTCATTGAATTTGCTGTATGCAAATATTATTTGTTAGTTTATCGAAATTATCGCACACTGAATATTATTCAAATTAGATAATAATTTGTTATGGAATTATATGCAGCAATCGAGATCGTAACCCACCATGCAATTTCTAAACAATTGTAAATTGCATCGGTTCAACGTAATAAACTAGCGACCTGCACTGACTTTACCCGATGTATTATGACATATTTACACATATAATATAAAGCTATAACGCTCGTAAATAGTACTTAGTATTATAATACATCTATACAGATAAATTAGTGTCTGTTTGTAATGTCGAATTAACAGCTTTTTACTAAATAAAGAAAGTATATACTATACTTATAACAAAAATAGAATTTTTGAAATTTTTTTGTCCGTCTGTATGTCTCCCTGTCTGTCTATTTGTTCCGGCCGAAATGGCTGTACCGATTTTAGCGGAGCTTTTGCTGGCAGATAGCTGATGTTATAAGGAGTAACTTAGGCTACTTTTATTTAAGAAAAAGGATTAGTGTTCCGGGTAAAAAAATTAAAACACATGAAAATGCGAACAAAGTCCGCGCACCCGGGGACGCTCCCGAGCGAAGGTAGGGTATGTTGCTAGTATTATGTATATTGTATTTGTCATACTAAATGTCAAATTCTGATTCGCGCGCCATCTTACGTACTTTAAAAGTACCACGTCGATTCTGGGGCGTTTCCACGTTAAAGTATGACAAATTAACACATAAAATATTTATTTTTATCATTACAGACCCTCATCATCGAAAGACGAAAATTTAGACGATATTTACTACGAAGCTGAAGCAAGTGGTCTTAGAGGCGACTGCGACAAATATATGGATCTGTGTCCTTACAGCCTGTTCGATATCATCACTCGTCTCGTCGAAGTACGGCATTAAAATGATATGTTAACATTAAGAGTTTAATTGTATTTCCCTTGAGTTTTTATTTTTTCTTCATTCATCGACAGAGCAATGTTGAAATTTTGCTGAATTTTAATAATACTCCTCTATACTAATATTATAATGCGGTAGAGTATGTTTGTTTGAACGCGCTAATCTCAGGAACTACTAATCCGATTTGAAAATTTCTTCTTGCATTCGATCGTTTATAAAGGAACACTATAGGCTATATATTATCATATAAATTATATTATATCTATTCTATACTAACCTTTAAAACGTACTGAGGAACGAACCTGAGCGTAGCGACGGTTAGTCGCTAGTTAATTATATACATAAATCTAATAGAATAGCCAAATAAAATCGTTTTATATGCGTTCCGTCTACATTTCACTTTCTTTATGTTTTGATATTTCTTAATTGAACTAAGTACTACGAGTAATATAAGTATTATTGTTTAAACATTTACACTCAACGGAAATCGAACTTACATCCCCAATTACACTTTAATGAGTAATGATTTTATGCTGGGTTATGCTTTGGTCTACAAACCAGAATAGGTTCTTTGTGTATACTACAATATACACAAAGAAAAAGAAAAAAAATGGATTTCAGATTTTTTCAGATTTTATTTCAAACAGTTATCTAGTTATCACATTGACAAGTATAGGACACGTAACTGTAAAGTACTGCTAAGATGAAACTTGTCTGAAAGTCTCATCAACTAACTCGTCATAAGTGATGTTAATATATAACTTGCCAGGATACTTTAGTGTTTACTTGTAAAGCATTTGAACCTGGGTGTTAGTAATAATATAAATAAAACATGATGCCGATTCAGTCATAGCTAAGTGGTACCCTATACTATTTTTGTTTGTTTGTTAGAATGTAATCTTTGACTCTGAAAACTATTAAAAAAATCTTTGAGACGTCTAAAACCTAAGTCTCTCCTGTGACCACACCCCGAAACATCGGTAACCAAATATGTACATAAATTCGCATTAAATCCGAAAAGATAGTTTTATTTAATTACTATCTAGTACCACGCCACGGCTCTTAGTAGCGAAGCAATTATATATAAATAAATAAATAAAGTAGACAGAGTCGCGGGCAAACGCTAGTTATAGATGTAGCGTACGGTTTGTCCACATCAAATTGTTTTTGAAACGTCCACCTCCAGAGTTACCTTTAGGCAATATTAAGATTAAGGAAACCCTTTATCAATTGTCAAATATTTACAAACTATATGTATTTAATTTTGAAAATAGATATATCTTTTAGAATAAAATATTGTAATAAAATATGCTACGAAAAGTAAAAAAAATTGTGTAAAATGATTGATTTTATTGAAAACTTATCTATACATATAATAAAAATCTAACTAGCCGAATCTTACATTAAATATTTTTTGGTTAATCTTATTGAAATATACATTATTATCGATACAGAGGCCGAATCTATAATTTTTAGAATTTTTGTCTTCTGTCTGTCTGTGACCGTATCACAAAAAATCCATTGAACAGGTTTTAATGTTTGGTATGATGGTAGCTGGTTTTCCGGGTAAACATATAGGATATATTGCGGGAAAATGTCTCATTTCTGAGCTAAACGTTAAAACATAACTAGGGACGAAACCGAGCGGAGCAAGCGTGACTCGCTAGTTAATAAATAATAACTAAAAAAATGGAGTTAAGATAGATTTTGTTCTAGAATCATTCAAAAATAATAGGGAATGATACGTGTATATCATTTGAATTTGTCATCTCAATACATTATTATTCTATAAAGATTCCATGGTTTCTCGTCAAAATCCCCATAAGTAAATAAGAACTGTACAATATTTTATAAAAATTAACAATACTTTGCTTTTATAAACAGAAACTTTTCTTGTACACTGTTCAAATAAAATTCATACCCTGAATACAAAACCTATTATATAAGGAAGCAAAAATTCCTTAAAGCCAAAGCCGTCGGGCGCAAACTTCATTTTAATTTTAAATATTCCCTCTTCAAAGGCGCTCATATTTCGCATCTTATATATTTTTCTTCTTAACAATAATATTAGTTGGCTTTTTGTTTTTGTTTGTTAAATTTTGTTTTCACTTCTTTTCTTAATTAATTTGTTTGATTTTGCCAGATTTTTAATCACTCAAGTCCTTTTAATGCAAATACTCTCCATACTTAGTTATAAGTTATATTTTTATATAATTTCCTTAATATAATATAAATAAATGTATACTATATACTATACATTATAATAAATGTATACTACATGTATATACTATATACTTATATACTATATACTTGGACATGCTGAAGATAAACATAAGTTGCTCATTTAGGTATCTTATCTATTACATACGTCCCTAGGTACGTTTTAATTTTTTTTGAGCGAAACCTATTTTTTTTTTCAAAAATATAAATAGCAATCAGCTATCTGCCAGTGAAAGTAACGCCAAAATCAGTCAAGCCGTTTCAGAGATTAGTCGAAACAAATAGACAGATAGACAGATCTAAAATTTAAGAATGTATTTGTCTTATAAGTATCTACCGTATATAATTTCATATGCATTTAGTAAAAGGCTGTTATTCTAACATTACAAACAGTACTTCTATTTTATTTATCTTAAATTAAAGTACTCGTAGGCATTGCTTTATAGGCATAATTTTTTTGCTGTTATTGATCCTTTGAACTCTAGCAGTCTTCGGCAAATCGACGAGTAACGAGTAAAATATTAATAACATGGCTAAAACATTAAAACATTTATTTAACATTTTCATTAAAAATATTATTTATATGAATCGTTCCATCTTAGCAAGCTTAAAATCCCAAATTAATCCCTCGAAAATTTCGAAGCTCCTCCGGATTCGAATTCACGCTCTGAATGGATTCTAGTAAATTCACAACTAAGCCATTCTTACATATTTATACGAAATAAATAATTACTATGAACGAGCAACATGCTGGCTATAAGTAGCTTATACAACTTAATTAAGTTATCACAAGCTCAAATTAACCGCTATACGAATATAAAGGAAATGTATATGCAATGAAGTCAAACTTAATTGAATTCATCTACAAAAATCAAATTCCGAATAGCATATGTTTGTTATTCATATTCTCCTAAACGGCTTGACCGATTTTGATGATTTTGTATGTAATTATGGATGATACTTAGCTATAGTTGAGTCTGGTAAATGGTTTTATTGTGGATATCTACTTCAATATGTCTAGCTACCTCCTATTGTACTTTGTGGTTATTTATTTATTAAAGCAACAGAATAAGCGCTATCATGCATTAATTTTAGATATATACAAATGCCCATTACATTGGTACGAAATGATAAACAGTTGTTAAACAAGTTCGTTCTGTCTGTCTGTATATTCTCCTAATCTCTGAAACAAATATGCGATATATTTTCCAAGAGGATTGAAGACTTGGATGAGAGTGGCATATCACATATGCTATGCCGAAAAAGAAAGAATGTTCCCGCGGGATAGAAGGTAGTGAGGTTACTTAACCAATTTTGATGACGCTTTTACTAATGAAAAATGTTAACGCTAGATAACTTATGGCTTGTTTGACAAGAGGTTTGAGAGCCGAAAGAAGGCCGTGTTTCTTATAAAACTATTTTTATTAGCTTTGTTTTTGAAATCTAGAAATTCTTTGAATTGTTCTAAATTAATTTTCAGACGTACACAAGATTTAGGTAGAAGGCAAGTATTATTACGTGTAACCTATATATTAAATTGTATTTCCAATATAGTGTACAAACCACTTTGCCAGATAACTAGCGGTGTTATGAAACTTTCAAGATTCCAATTTCAAGAAAATTAGATTTTATAAGTAAAATGATATTAATTGATTTGTTAATTTAGAATTAATGACTTTTTCATATGTTTTTTACAAGACATAATATCTTATTGAACAGTTAAAATTGAGTTACTTAACAATTAAAATAGGCTAATCTTAGAAAAATCACTTGAAAAAGAATCAAAAATGAAAATGATGACATTACTTATAACTCCAAAAACTCCGAAAACTCTAGTAACTACTATTAAAAAATTTGAAACTTCCATAAAAAACATATATTGTATGTGTATTTATTATTATATAAAACATTATGTTTATATCTTAGTGAAATATAACCTTACAAGCGTCCGTTCTTGCTTTAAGAATGTAACAAAAGTTGGTAATGAAGCTCCCGGTAGCCTTTCACAACAATAGAAATTGAAAGTTAGTTGGTAACTTATTAAAGAAATGTTTACGGGATACAAAACAACTTACTCAATTTTATATATCTTTATATACTTTTCAAACATCCTCAGGACATTTTTTGATAGAGACATATATGTTATCCTCCATTGAAACTATATTATTTACTTATATAAAGTCACGACAATTTTTGTTACGTATGTAAAAATGGAAAATTAATATAAAAATTATAAACTCGTTCTCATAGCCTTAATAATTATAAAAAAAACTATTGCTTGCTGGCGGCTCTGCTCGCTTTGTAGGTACATTAATAAAAAGTATGTGTCAAACTAAAATATAAGCTATCTTTATACCAAATTTCATCCAATTGTGGAAAATTTTAGCGTGTAAAAGAGACTCACAAACTCTCACACCTTTAAAAGTTTTTGGCAAATGAGGTTTTATTTTAATAGGATAACTAGTGGCTTAGCCTTGCTACGCTCGGGCTCGGCTGCGTCTTTAGGTACATACGTGCACATAGCGTTGCTACTGTTTAATATGAAGATCTTTTTAAGAGAAATAATTCTATAATATATATATATATATATATATATATATATATATATATATATATATATATATATATATATATATATATGTATATATATTGTTTTCATATAACTTTATGCATCATTTTTTATCGCATGATTTTTTCCGACATCTACAACAATCATCGTCATATTTCAGCCAATTTCCACAAAACCTTAATGAATTATGCACTTAAACCTTCCTCATAAA